ACAGGTTTCCGGGCAACCCGACTGACCACGATGGCGCCCGAGGTGTCCCGAGCTGGTCGGCGCCTAGGCGACCGCCAGTCAGGGCACCAAGGCAAAACCTGCAGGGCGAAACCTGCATCGCCCGGCCAGGCTTCGTGGCGAACCCGAGCCGAAGCTAGGTCGCCACAAGGTGCGAAGCGCCGAGGTGTCCCCGAGCTGGTCTGCGCCTGGCGACCGCCAGTCAGGGCACCAGGCGAAGACAGGGCAAAACCTGCATCGCCCGGCGCGAAGCCGTGGCGAACCTGAGCCCGAAGCTAGGTCAGCCACAAGGTGCCGAAGGCACACCATCACCTGAGCGAAGCCAGGATCAAGCTGCCTGGGAGGGGGCGTTCTCGAGCCAGAGCTCGGGCGCAGCCAACCCCCAGATGCGTCCGATCCACCCGGCGACAGGCGTGCTGAGCTCCTTGCGGAACCCAGACAGCACCGTGTCAATCGGGCGGAATTTCACCACAGGCGACACCTGGTGAACTTACGCCGAGATCAACACTGCGAGCCGAGCTCCTTACGGAGCCCGGACATCAGCGCTATCAATCATCGAATTGACATTATGTTGAAGAATATGTTGCTGCAATAGTGAAGCAAATTGAGTCATATTTAAGTCAGCAACATTGTCTGCGGGGAAGCGATAAAGGGATTTCCTTAGAAACCTTTTATCAAATATTATCCCCGCCTGGAAGCAGATTAGTGAAAAACATAACATCTGGCGTGTCGAAGAAAGAATTGGCGTGGTGGCAGAAACCCAGACAAAAACCACAACCTCGGCCTATGAGCCCGCGTTGTGTGTAAGCGTATGAAATATGTATCATAATACAACATAATGTAACAGGAATATTGGCGCTTAAAAGCGTTTATTATGAGCATCCTTGATCGTCGTGAAAGTGGCGTCCTCGGCTAAACACCAGAGGCACACTTTATAACCATCTTGTGGCGGTAGTGTGCATGGCACAACGCGACAGGGCTTAAACTGCAACAAACAGAACCACGCCAGTGTTACTAGCAGGAACTGTGAAGCAGCAAACACATAAACACAAGTAATAGCAAGAATAATCCGCCGCGGGCGATATATAAATGCTACAAGCTACAGCCATTTAAATACTAAGCATACAATGCAAAGCAGAAAAAGGCTAGCCACCCCTGCGTGTACTAGTGATAGAGTAAAGTTGGTGATACTGAAGCGAACACTATCAAAATTACTCAACAACGACTTACCACAAATTAGGCTGAAAAGAAAGAGAATTTAGGCAAGCCTACCATATAATATGCAAACATAATATATGAACTCCCTACTACAAGCTACCAAGAACATATAGCAAAGGAAACCACGATCGCGGTCCGCCATTTTGCCTGCCACATGGCTGGAAAACAGAGAACCCACGGCAAAGTTACAACAAAAGATGAATGAAAATATCCACATATGGCGTCCATCTAGCGCCGCGGCGAGAGAAAGGAACCATACATACAGATTGAGACTCTTTTACACTCATCGTATCGGTAGGAGAGCAAACTCGAAACGAACACCACGCACGTCTATTCAACAGAACGACAGCATGAAAAGTGAGGTACGAGGTAGACGGCGAGAGTTACCTGCTCTTGGCTGTGTTGGTCCGGTGGGGCCCTGTAGGGGTGGTCTCACAAGACAAAACGAGTTTTTTGTTTTGTAAATATTTTATTAAAAATATAGTTACAACTGTCGTAGGATTTAAAATGGACATTTTAATGCTTATCCGTACCCCAAGGAGGACTTCTTCTGAAAAAGAATAGATCTGCCTGAGTATCTTTGTGAAGTCTGACGAATGACGCTGGCTAGTGTGTCCATCGATTTAATCATAAGGACTTCCCTGGAATCCTTAGAGACTTCCTTGGCGACTTTGTCGATTTCTCCGTCAAAGATGGATGTTGTCGACCACGGGGTTGTGTAAAGTGGGGCTGTAAAGTTCTCCCCCCAATTACAGGAAGCGAGGAGGCCTTGACGACGAGCTAAGGTCAATGCTGCTGAAACAGATGTAAGATGATCCGTTAAAAACTGCTGATCTTTCTTTTGCATAAGTAAGGCAGAATAAATCATTCTATCATCTTCCGTCGTGGAATCCCGGAATCTAGTAATAAGAGTCTCATTGATCGTCCTAGATCTATTTAACCCAAAGAACATACGTCTCGTCATGGTTTCTATATGAGCCAACTTGCGATCATCCATCTTGTAAATCTTGTTCTTTACATCGCTGATGATCTTATAGTTCTCATCGATGTCCTGGGCTTTGTAGAAGGAGTCCATGTTATCGTGGAGAACTTTTGGCATGAAAGTTGGGCAGATGTGGTGTCTGAACTTTTCGTAGCTTTCTGGAAAGCTGCATCTAGATTCTGTGGCACTGCGCATAATCGGGTCGATCGGGGTAGAGTGATTGCATCTGGATCGTCTTCCTTCATCAAATCGTCTGCTGTATTGCCACTTTTAGATGGTGATGTGAGATCTAGGTTATTGACCATCCAATACCGTATCTCTGCATCAGAAAATATGATTCCTCCATCATCCTCAATACCATCATCATTAACAAATTGTTGATGCTCTTCGACCGGGACTGCGTGTAGCTGTCTGTATATCTGATGAGGTTTGTGGCGATCTAGTTGACTTGTGCGCGCTCTATGTGGAGATCTGGACGGTGATCGACCTGGTGATGAACGAAGTGGAGATCGTCTATGGGATGATCTTCTCGGAGACTTGTGAGGTGAACGTTGATAGCTTTCCTGAAGCTCTTCTATAGTCCCTCGATGTTCTTCTAGATGATGAGGATCTGGAATCATATGTCCTTCGCGAATGCCTTCGCGAAGCTTCATTTGCGTCCGGTCCGGGGGATCGATGATATGACCTTCGCGAAGGCCTCCGTGATGTCTGATGGTCCGAGTCCATATCTAGAGATGAAATCGAAGATGGTGATGATCTATCCCGCCTTCGCGAAGGCCTTCACGAAGGCTGTACATCTAGGTCCTTCGTCAAGGTGGTCCGGGACTTCCTTCGCGAAGGTGACATCGTCTTGGCTGCTACGTTGACGGGGGGTGCCTCTGGGGTGCTGTCTACGTTGGAGCCTTCGCGAAGGCTCGGACCCTGCTTCTGCAGTTTGTAGTGGTCCTCCATGATGTTCATAATCTGCCGCATCATGTCTTCTGGGATGATCTGTGACGAAGTCGTCGGCGTCTTCTCTGCGATGGGGTTCACATCAATAACGTCTGACGTCGGTGTAGAGGCATCAGGCTGCATGGTGATCTCTGCAGAAGTCACAGTCGCTGACACCGGTCGCTTCTTCTGCCGTAAGTCGGGGATGATTATCGGCTGATCATCGTAGAGACCCAATTCTGCTGCTGGAACGATCTCGGCTGAGAAAGTTCTCTCGCTGTCTTCGTAGATTTTCCTTTGGAAGTCTGCGCTGCCCTGGGTGTCCTCAATCTGCGTTGAGACGACGATGAGGCCCTCTTAGACTTGGTCTGCAATGACGGGATGTCTGGGGAGGCCGGTCGTTTCTTCGAGGTAACGGACTGCGTCCCACGTTCCTCTACCGCAGGTGGGAGAGGGTCGATCGCTAGCAGCTGACTGGATGGAATATCTGGACTCTCTGCCATGTTTTGCCCTTGTTTGCGTGATCTATCTGCAGCACGTCTTAAGACGCAAAGATGATATTTATTAAATGCAGAAAGAGATAAATTAATGCAGTAACTGCAACGTGAATTAAACGCACACGGCGTAGAACAACTAGGGCATATTACATGTGGATCGGAGGCAGAAAAACGTAATCTACAAATCGTACAGATTTTCATCAACGTAAAGCTAGCTGAACAATCACGAATACACGTGAATAAACAGTAGAAATACGATAATTAATCAATACAAATAGTAAAGGATACTAGCTATACCTCTATAGTAACCTATGAGAGGTAAAAACTAAGAGATTATCAAAAGATATGGTGTGTAAGGAGACACGAGGCGCGCTCTCACATCCTGCTCACTGGGCGAAGAAGGAGAGAGTGAAGCACATGGGCAGAAGGTGGCGACACCTTTTCCCGCCAGGGGAGACAAAGGGAAGCAACTCGTGGTGAGTACCAATTAGTGATTTTATTTTGAAGGGAGCTTCAAATAAGGAGATACAAGTGTTCCACTATGTTCGCAAGAAGAAGAAGACAAGCAAAAGAGCATGAGTCAGGATAAGGAAAAATATAAGCAAATAGTAACCATGTCATTAGAAACCCATAAGCGTATATACTGCAGGTCAAATATCTGTGTTTTATGCGGATTTTCGTTTGTTGATGGGTCAGTGTCAGCGACCAGGGAAAAGAAAATCCAAAAAACATTTTGTAAGTCCCTCCGAACTTTAACAATTAGTTGTTGTCTGACTGGTTAAATCCGTTCGGCCGTCTCGCGTTTGATTGGACGGTCATAGGTCGCTCAAAGGTTAGATGACGCGACCTATAAGGTTTTGTTAGACTCAGTATAGCAGTGTAAGGAATAATACTGAGCCTAAGTTTACTTAGACTGTATAGTAGTAATAGCAATTCATAACTGCTCCAATGGTTTCAGGCAATCATAGACATTGTTATTACCCCAGTAACTGGACCCGTGTTCATCTATGCTTCTATTCTAAGCCCCCTCTCGAGTGTGTGGTACCAGGAGGTAAACAATCACTTTATTCTACATGACCTTTGTCAATGGAGCAATGTGAGAACTAATGTTTCCCTGAATAATCTGTTAAGTCAAGAATACAAGTCAAGTACTAATAATCTCACTGTTTGTTCTAATGATTATCAAAGCTTGATGGAAGAACAGGTCAATAAATAATTTGGACAGCAAGTAATAGCAGTGTTATTTGAACCAATGTATTTATCACAATGCACTGGACTATCATGGATCCTGCAGTTGGTCAGAAATAGACATCAAGCAGCACATCACAAATATTCAACTTGTGAAACACACTCACCTCTCCACTGTCGGCAGTTCATGTTGTTTAGCCACATCAACAGGGTAGGTCTCCCTCACAGCAAAGCGGACATCTTGACTGTTGTCAGTGCGTGGTCGAAGGATGTTGAGGATTGTATATTCATAGTCTGTCAGGACAATGTTACCCTGTTTGAGAAACAATAACACATCATGTAAATGTAACGAATACATATGTACTACAGCCTTCACTAAAATCATCAACGTACAGTCTGACTGAATACATCCGGTAAATACGGTATATTTGTTTTGTCAACAACCATTTACCACAAACCATATTTCAGCATATGAGCAATGCACAGAGCCTGGAAGTAGCAACATGTCATCTGTCCACTATGCTCAGCGAATAGCTGCCAGTCTCAAAATCTGCTAAAAATGTGTCAACGGGCAAAATAAATAAGTCAATTCAAATGATCGCATGAGACAAATCTTCATTTAAAAACTGCAAAGAAAAGTAAAAATTTCCTAATTAATTTTTTGCAAAACACTGCTTACATAAAAGATCTAGTCAGAAAAGATCTGACTGTTTTCATAAGCATATCTGCACTGCTTCTGTAAGTTACTCTAGGGTCAGTAGAAGACATCCAACTGCAACATCTGCATGCACCTACCCTATCATACAGCTCCAGGATGACATGGTATGCAGCTTCACTGGAGCCAAACTGGAAGTCAACAATTCTGTCCACACCAAGTTGCTGAATGCACTCCAACCGGCGACCTTTGAGATGCTTCCTCATCTGAAATCACACAGAAGGTATTCATCAGTATTATCAGATGGCCTGACATGATTGTAACACAAGGTTTTGTGGGGACCAATCCACAAAGCATTTGCAGCAAGATGTTGTAGACAATGTTGTATCAAACTGTCTGACATCCTTCTGAAGTTAAATTAAAAATTAAGCTATGTACATCATGCTGTAGTGTGTAAGTAGTACAAAATAGTCATTTACTCTGCTGGTGGTCAGCTACACCCTGATGCAGGCATGCAACCTATGAGAGGCATCATTCCCAAGAAGTCATCTGTCAAGATTACAGGTCATCCTCCATTATCAAGGGTACCGTATATGACCGTCTATAAGCCGACCCCATGGATAAGCCGACCCCCAAACTTGACCCTCAAAATCAGTGTCAAAATCATATCTCTCATGGATAGGCCGACCCCCCGCGATGGGTCGCGGCCAACAGAGACCAGAGTACCCGGTAAGTATGTTCCATCAACGACGAGACACCATTACGAGAATATTACATAATAAAGATTACCGGTGTTTGTTTACCTTTTTTTAACGATCACTGCTTGCATGCATCATCAACAAGACACCATTTGGAAAGTGGATATACAGCGTAAGTGTTGGTGAGAATATTACATAATAAAGATTACCGGTGTATTGTGGCAACATGTGTTTGTGTTCCTTTTTATATCCCGGCGATCACTGCTTGCATCAACAGCGAGACGCCATTTTGTGAAATCGGGTGGTGGAGAGAGAAAAGTACCATCGGTAAATAAAAACTGAAGTCAACTTTTGTTTCAAAATATATTATTTAAGTGTCCATATTTCATCTATATATATATGACAATAAGAAAATAGTCCACTAACAATAAACACTGACATTTCTGCAAGAGAGTTCTGAGATTTTCACAAGTCATCGGCCGTAAACCCATCAAATTCCGTGTCACTGTCCTCCTCATACTGTAAGTCGATCCACATTATTCAAAGAATTCACTGTCATATATATTGTGTCTACTCACGGATCGAAACAAAGTGTAGTTGACAGAAAATGCATAATATATTTTGCTTCTCTAAATATCATATTTATTGTAGCAACAAACTGGCTTGCTGATTTTACCCCATTCAACAATCACAAACTGATTACCGCCTCGTTCCATGTCACGTGCTTACCACGTTCATGATGGTCCGTATAACCTTAGTGTTGATTATATATTTTTTACATAAAAACTATTACACAATGCTAGGATATATTTCTTTGGGTTAAATAATAGTATTCAATCAATAGAATTCATCCTGTTATATTATTGTGCATGTTTGAACTTGTTCGCTGGGAAACATGTGCACAGCTGATTGCTATTTCCGGCTTTGTAATGCGAGACAAATCGCATACGGTAATCTTAATTAATTTATAGAGCAAAACTGTAACTAAAATTACACAATGCTAGGATATATTTCTTTGGGTTAAATAACGGTATTCTGTATTATATTTTACTGATGACTGCGTCAGAATTCGATCCCGTTATATGTATTACATCTCTGCCTCACTTACTTGGCTTTTAGGACCCCATATGTAATAAAGCTAAATGCTGTGAGAAGTCATGATTATTACGAGCCCCTACCTTCATGGAAAAGCCAGACGGAGCTGGGTTTTTAGGCCAGTCAAACTCAGTACTGTGAAGGCGTATCCCAGATTCCAGCAAAATGACCACTTTTTGATCAGGTCTGGAAATAGAACAGATTGGTAAAAAATTCACACTGCACAAAAGTGAGAGAGACTTGGATTTAACTTGGCTTCCAGTTACGTCACAGTGTATCAGCTTAACATGGGAGAAAGCCTGAAAAGACTGAGAGCCATAACATAAGTAGATTGCTGGCAAAGCTTGAAACATGATCAAAGTGAATAATACAACCACTGGTTTCTGCAATGTCCAGGGAACAGAAGTCTTCACAATTAATTGCAGTTCTGAAGCAACTGGGCCACTTGTAACCCCATACTGCACATAAGTTATATTTGATACAGCAGTGGGCTTAATAACTAGCAGAGAGCGGAAGGTCGCGGGTTTGATCCCTGGACGCATCATACCAAAAGACATTAACATTAGTGCTGTAACGATGCATGAAACTATCGATGTACTACAATTGTTGAGTCTCTGATAGCAATTATCTGTTGAGCCGTTGGTATATGACCAGATGGTGGCCACATGAATATGTGCAAACACCCAGTTGCGGGTACAGCAACGTGCAGTGAACTTGGACAAAGTACTGTGACTATGTTATCCCAGTCCACCCAGCTGTGAATGGGTACCTCGCTAGGATGAGAAAGCCACAAAGCTTGATGTACCAGTGCCTTGAGCATGCACTAGTTGCGTGGATATGTGCGCTTTATAAATATCCTATAATAATAATAATTAATCGATGATAGTATGTGTGGCTATCGATGGTTTAAAATTGACTTCCGTTGATAAATGCACAGCGCAAAATACAGGAAGTACCAGATTCACTCACTTTGATTTAGAGTTATCCTCCCCTGTTACCTCATAAACAAACTTGATCAGGGTTTCAAGTTTCTTGTCAGTTATCAAAAGAGACTGAAACTACTTCAGGTTGTTTGTATTTTATATAAACTACACATTTATTTGGGAAATGACTTCAAATAAGACAATTCAAGGAGAAATAGTATTGCAATAGTTGGTCGCAATAGTATGTTGCAATAGACTATCACTATCGCAATAGTTGTTTCCCCTTCAATAGTCACCCCAAGTTAAAATATGTTACTTGTTGGTCCCTGCCTAGTACTCGGCATTAAAGGGTACAACAAGGATTGGTCAGCTCAGTATAATGTGTCTGAGTGGGGTATTCATGCTTAACTGCAGCATGGTATCTCAGTGGGCTAGCACTATAAAACCAGCTTAAGTCTGGGCTAGTACAAACAGCCGCACACACATGCGCATGCACGTCATCATAGGAGCAAAATATTCTCAAGTACGACGTTAAACCCCATTTCACCTCACCTTAATAACTTGGACATACATAGGTACAATATGTCAAGCCCTCCATGATGTGGCTAGAAGGAACATTGCTAACAGAAGAGTTAAACCACACTCTCTGAATTAACCACTAGGCCAGGTATCACAAAGCATTTAATACGTTGTTTGGTTTATGCTATACTGGAGTTTCCGTAACATTAGGACACCTTTGTGAGATAGAGACCTGGGCCCTGTTAGTCACAAAGCTCTCTTAAGCTTAAGGTCTACGTAACTTATCTCATGCCATTCCTAGTAACATAGAAGGTACCTAGAATGCTATGAGAAAAGTTACGAGATCTTAGGCTTACGAGCTTTGTGAAATGGAGACCCTGTCCGCAAAACCCTGTATCTCGTGGAAAGGCTATATAAATGGCCTATTATTATTATTATTATTATTATTATTATCTGGGCTAACCAATAATTCAACATGAGCAAAAATCCATTACAGTATAACCAGAAGAGTATAAAAATGACATAATCACATATTGTAGCCATCCAACCCTCATTTTATCTGCTACTGTGACCAGCTTCCACCTTGACTGTGAACCTATTTTATCACATACCACAACATTGCTTCACTTATACTTACTTTGCCAGTCTGATGAGGTAGGTCTTGTTGTCTATATCATAGATGTTGACCACACGCATGCCAAGAAACCTGAAAACATACACAAAACAATTACCTTATGATCCTCATGCACCTATTTTAACATGTCACATTATCACATCATCAACTGGTCAAGGAATTGTGATTTATTATTGGGAAGTGTATGAATTTCCAGCCATAAACTGGACTGGACATTCTATGAACTCAAACAAGTATGCAAGGTTAAGGGGTCCTTGTTGTAAATGACAAAATTGCCCTTTGAAGATTGATATCTGTCTAAAAAGCATAAAAGTATTGACCTAGATAAAGCTATATACAAGAAACAATGCTCTTTCTTCAGTGATCGTGCTACGTTTGGTCACTGTCAACCAATGGACATTATATAAGTTAAATCATTGTACCAATAGTGTGAATACACGATACTACTAAGAAAGTGGTCAAATGTAACATATGTCACATTTGGAATTACACTTTGTCAATAAATTCAGATTCTAGTACTTTTATTAGGGTGAGTCCCATCGAGCCCACTCTGTCAAAGTCAGGCACCTTATAGCAGGACACAAAGTTAGTGATGTCCACTTGTGTGCAGGTAAGCATATCGCTGTCACAACAAACTTTGTAGCTATTATTCCCTGTAGATATTTTCCCTGCAGGCATTATTAGACCAAATCATGAAAGCACTGAGCCTGACTCTGTCATGATTATCGCCTACACACACACACTGTCATGATTACACACACACACACACACAGAGAGAGAGAGAGAGAGAGAGAGAGAGAGAGAGAGAGAGAGAGAGAGAGAGAGAGAGAGAGAGAGAGAGAGAGAGAGAGAGAGAGAGAGAGAGAGAGAGAGAGACCTCCCTTGTTCCACTGATAATGTGGTTTCACCTACATGAAAGATTTTTCATTTTCATCATTCACAAGGAGAAGTCCAAATCCCATAATAGACAGGGAGGTGAAAGTATATGAAGATAGGGTATGTTCATGAATAATGAACATCTGATATTTCTGATGTTCTATCCCTGATATCTAACTTGAATGATGAAAACAACACCTACTAAATAATTCAATCCTGTTCATTCAGTGTGTTGGTTATTGTAATACAAATGTTAGTTTGTGGAAGTATAAATGGAATGAGTGACAGAAGAATATCCCTTGAAATTGTTAGTGTCTCATAAAACCTTTTCATACTATTCTTGCTCGTACATTAATGTGTAATCTCATCTACATTCTAACATAGAATCTATGTTGGTTTTACAACTTGTAGAAGATGACTTTTGAAATAGTTTGTCCCGGATCATACTGTGTTCATAGTCATTGTTTCAGAGATATCATTTATTTGTCATCATAAGAAATGTTATCTTAGGTTAATGACACAACTTAGTTATTTATTATGTATACAGTCATCTTCAAAACAGTATGATACAAATTCACGAAAATAGCCATGACCCGTTTCGGAGAAAAGTTTAGAAAAAAAGTATTTTACCTTTGAAGTTCCTTGACCACTGCGCTAATATCGACTGTGCTAAATCTACTCTTCATTCTGTACAGTGTTATATCTTATTCCTCAGGTTGTAAGTTACCACTTCGTCAAAACATCATATGTTTCACCATACTACACAAGCATTGGCGTTACGAACTTCCTGTGTAAAATTACGTTTTGGCAAAAGTGTTAGATCTTATTTCATTGGTCAAAATGAAAATACTATCCAATGAAAGCCAACTTAACAAAACAGGTTTCAACCATTCTCAGATAACTTCCGGGTGGAAAAGTGCGTCTGCTATGGGAATGTTGGTATATGTTCTGTAAATATCGTCACTACTCTTTCGACATGAAATTGGGTCACCGTGTCACCTTCAGTGCTTGTATATGTAAGTCACGTTTATTGTGCGTGTACCGATAATACTGCAGAGACATTTTCTCGTTGAATTTGACGTCGGAAAGACAGATCAGAATCTACCGAGCTAGACTTGGGTCACATGATACTAGAGCCTGTGGTGTTAGTTCAGCAACGACGGATATAAAGTTGACTGGTGCGATTCGTGTGACAGTGGGAATTTCAACGGGAATTCGGAAGGTAAACAACAACACTGAATATGAGTGCTAAATGTTTCATCATTCTTAACCCGAATGGTATTGCCAACATTGCCAACGTCCGAATGCTATCTGGGAATTTGCATTTAATACTTCTTCCTACCCGAAGTGGATATGTGTGAAACCCATTTCTGATGTCAACCGCCGTGCTACTGCTTGATTGCTAAAAGCGTTTTAAAACCACACAACAGCCGTTCACTTAAAATTTACAACATTATGTAACGGCGTCATTAGATGGGACAGGTCAAGACGTTAATGATGACCAAGCATTTTGGTTAAACTTCCCAACTGATAAGCATTAAGATTCTATCTGCAAAAAATGTTTAGATGACAATATATTATCTGCTGTAAATATGATTATTTGCAATTAATATGGAAAAAATGACCATCAGTGTTGTCTGTGAAAAACTCTTATCATATTCATAGCTACTTATCATCTGATCATTGCTCATTTACATGAAAAGCATTTAGAATGTTTGAGAAATTGATAGATGTGGAGTATTTTGTCATTTCAGGTAAAATTCATCATGGATGATGATTATACACAACCACCCACCTCCCTTTTTGACAACTACCGCACTGAAGTATTCAGCTATCATGGAATGGAAAACTATAGCCTCGCATGGAACCACTTTGAAAAATGTCGCCAACTTGGACAGTTTACTGATATCATCATTCAAGTTGAGGGAAAGGAGTTCCCATGCCACAAGATCCTTCTAGATTCTTGCTGTCCATATTTTAGTGCGTATTTCTCGTTCTCAGACACGGAAAATCAGAACACTATTTGTCTGAAAGGAGTTTCTTTAAGTAGTTTCACAAAACTGATCGACTTCATTTACACAGCTACATTGACAGTATCTGCAGATGAAGTAATAGATCTTTTAGAATGTGCAGACTTTCTCCAGTTGAGGGACCTTGTTCATGCATGTAGTGGCTTTCTACTTCAACACATCAACCATGACACCTGTCTAAAAATCTTTCAGTTAGCAGAGGCTCATCTTTTGCCAGACCTTAAAGAAGCAGCATGGGAATATATTCAAAACCATTTCAAAGATGTTGCAGAAAGTGAGTCTTTCCTCCACACGCCAAAAGATCTCCTTAACAGAATACTCACAAGCAGAACTCTCAAAATGGATTCTGAAATGATAGTATTGAAATCTGTAATAAACTGGGTCATGTTCAGTCGGAATGACAGAGAGAGAGATTTTAGTGATTTGATTTGTCCTCTTGGATTCAGTCCAACAGATGTTGATAATGCTGATGTATTGTCTTTGTATGGCAAAGATGTGTTTGACCAGGTGATGAACTGTGTTGGTGGATCCAGAATTTCAAGATATGAGCAGGTGATGGTCGTTGTGAGTCGCGACACGACTTCCAGTAAGTTTAGCACCAGTGATATCTTCTTCTACAACCCTGAAACCAGCAGATGGCACACATTGACCTCATTTCCATTTGAAAAACGTCATCATTTTGGAGTGGCTTTGCTGAACAACAAACTCTACCTTACCGGAGGGGTAACCACTGAGGTGCCTCTGTATGATAAACAGAAGCAGATATTCTCTGAGGCATGGGAGTATGATGTCTTGGGAGACACATGGCGACAGGTTCAGTCAATGAATGGTGTCAGGTACAACCACAGCAGTGCTACACTTCAAGACTTAGTCTATATTGTAGGTGGCAGAGGCAACAGGAAGATCACAGTCAGACCTGATGGCGAAGTATACAACGCTGCCACAGACCAGTGGACTTCTCTCCCTGCTATAAAAGAAGTTCAAGGAATTGGAAATGCCGCTCTAACGCCTCTCGATGGCAAGCTGTACCTTCTGGGTGGTATGCATAGCTCTGTTGTTGCAGGGAGAAGGGATGTGTCATTTGACTCCTACAAAGGAGCTCAGTACTATAACCCTTTAGACAATGAATGGCATGACCTTGTGATATTGTCTTCCCAGATTGATGCTGAGGATTTGCGTCTCAGCAGAACAGACTGTGTTGCAGTCAATGGATTCTTGCTCCTCATCAATGACCAGCCGGGCAAAAGATTAAAACTTTACAATCCTGTAACTAACAGACTGACTGATTTCATCTTGTCCCATGGCTATCACAAATTTGGTGGATGTCACCTATTCCAAGATCAGCTGGTGATATCAGGTGGACTTGAGGACAAATTCAGGGCCCATGACATGGTGCATTGCTTGGATCTGAATGGACCTCCATCAGACTGGAAAATGTTAAGTCCTCTACCAGTATCATTGTCTCACCACACTTGTCTTAATGTGTATGTGGATCTGAAGGCACTGAATGATAGAGACAATTCATGAGAGCATCAACTGGTGTGTGTGTCTTTAGCATGAAAGCCAAGGGATTCCTTGTCATAACCCTAATCTTATAAGTTAGAAATAGAGCCACAAGGCTCCACTATAAACTATATTTTGGTAATATTATCTGCAGACTAAAGTCTTTGAATGGCATTCTCAAAATAAAGATGACATCCATAAGGGACCGTTCATAATTTATGGCTAGGGGGTGATGATGATTTTTATGGAGAAGCATGTACAATGTGAGTGACAACCCCACCCCCCCCTAAAATTTATGTACAAAGTAAGTGACCCCCTGCATGTCATGTACAAAATCAATTACCCCCCTTCCCTTCCCATATTTTTTAAGCATAATTTTTTAATAATGTTGTGTACAAAATTGATGACCCCCCCTACCTCACCAGAACAAAATGGGTGAACACCCCTTAAAATCATCACACACACACACACACCTCCACCACCCCAGCCATAAATTATGATCGGTCCCTAAATTCTTGCCTTTTTCTGCAGACTATTTACAAAATATTGTTCCAAAAGATTGTAAGGAAAAGAAAAATGTAGCGAATACTGCTGCTTCAAACAAATTTGGAAATTTTAAATTAATACACACTCAAACTTAAAGTCCTGTGCCCCATGATTCTCAGGAATAAGGTTTTTAACTTTTTGTACAAGGAATATATTTTTATACGAAGAAATCTGTATGCCAAATTTGAGCTTCACAGTATCAGAGAAGATATTCAAGCTCATGGTGAAAGTTCAAAGGTCTTTATTTCAACTGCACAGGTCAATGTCAAGGCTACTGTAATTTCAAACACTATCAGTGACAGCAAGTTATGTACTTCGTGGGATGGTTGTCTTTAGCTGAAAGAATGGATGAGATAAAACAGTCACTTTGATCTGGTATTAGTGTTTTTTTATCAACAGTAGCAGTCATATTTGACTCTGGTTAATCAGGTGGTATGTTAGGTTCATTACTTATGCAGAAATGCACATCTGAATATTTATTACGCACTTTATATTCATTTCAGATCGTTATGTTGCAGTGATATTTGTCCTGTTTGTTTACCTGAATACTAAGGGACCGTTCATATCTCTTTTATCATAATTTATGGCTAGGGGGAGGTGATGGTGATTTATGGGGGGATCACCCATTTTGCTCTGGGGAGCTGGGGGTCATCCATTTTGTACACATGTATTAGCGGTGGGGGGTGTCAGCAATTCTGTACATAAAAATATGTTTAAAATTATGCTTAGAATTTATGGGAATGGGAAAGGGGTCATTTATGTTGTACATGACATGCAGGGGGGTCACTTATTTTGTACATAAATTTGAGGGGGGGATCATTCACATTGTACATGCTTCTCAATAAAAATCATCATCACATCCCCCTAGCCATAAATTATGAACGGTCCCTTAGTACATGGGAATTGTTTAGGTCAAAGGTTAAACAGGTCTTTTTGTGGTATGGTATTTGTTCATTTTATCTTTCCAAATTTTTCTACCTTTTCCATTTAAAAATGTGAACTGTGCTTGCTCCTCCACTAAGCCCCAGTAACAGAGTGATTATGTCACTTTCAGTGAGCTGACAATTAAAAGGTTGTAAAGGTTGGTGAGTGTACAGATTCTTTCTTATTTGATTTTAATACATGTATGAAAGAAATAATTCACTTGAACAATCATCATGGTGGTAGATATCTGATAGTCCGAGATATACAAGTAAAACAAAGCAGTGTTTTCGGCAAATACATACATGGATAAAACAAGAAACCATGGCAACAAGACCGGAAGTTGGATATCCAATGAATTTTATATTTGATTCATAGATTATTACATTTCATGGTCTTTGACATTTCACGTTCTTTGTGGGAATTTGTCTTGATTTGTGTGTGTCAGCAGTAACCCTCCTTGAATTTTAAATTTGATTCATAGATAATTACATTTCATGGTCTTTGTGAGAATTTAATCATGTAATCTAGTGAATGAACCAGTATGGTCTGACACCCCCTTTCCCAATATCACAGCAATATCATAGCAGGGGACACCAGATATGGGCTCCGCACATTGTATCTATGTGGGGAATTGAACCCTGACAAGCCAACGCTTTAACCACTTGCTTACTAAACTTCCCCACATAATCTAGAGTGATTTTAGAATATAACCTAGCTTGACGTTGCATTTACATCATGATGATGGAATCTTTTAGCGATATTTGTTTGTATTTTGTGATTTGAGAATAATTTTTTGAGAATGCAAATTTGAATTGATGCAAATATTATTATAAAATAATATAAAGTCTGTTTATTTGAATTACTGAAACTAATTAATAGTTACATTCAAACAGGACATGTGTTGGAACAGATCTCCAGCAACCAGTGCTGGTCATATGAGGTGATATGATGGATCAAGTGGTCCGGCATGGTGACTTGATTGAATGTCATTGTGCCTCATCAGCATGGAAATTGGTGTATTGTCCAGACTTGTTATTCAGACTTGTTATAGCTGCAAAATTGCTGCTATACACTATACCCTATACACTGGAACATATTCTGACTGGAAAAACAATCAAGGGACAGAATATTGGTGTCTTATTTCTTCACTAAATCACCTTGAAAAGAAAAACAAGAGATTCCAAATTCCCAGCACTCACAACGCAGAGATTTTGATGTATGATATTGTTATCAGTATGTCATGAATATGATGAAAACTGTGGGAAGCTAATTCATTCAATAAAAATCAAGGTTCTGTGTCCTGCCGTTTTGGTTTCCTTTTGTTATGTTTGCACTCTCTTTTTTTTAACTCACCTGTACACTGATGTTTCTAATGCAGGTGTTGAGGTTTAACATGAGCAAGTCATTTGATCATGGAACTGAAAACAAATTTCATAACCAAATAATAAAATAGGTTGATTATAACACAGGTTTCAAAAGTATTCCAGTTTCTGGTGACGTGTGAGAGGAATGCCCAAATCGTTTTTTGTGTAACTTACCGGTATGAGCAATATATGGAACTAGGAAATATAGATTAAAACAACTCAGTGGATTCAGGAAATACTAGGGGATGCAACTCTGCACAGTAACTCAGACAACTGGTCTACCAGAACATCCTTGCTGTCAACGAGACTACCATCTTCAAACAAGCACTACAAGTAATTCTTTTCATTTCTTTAGCCTGAAGTTTGTTTCCTTCATAATTACCTAAAGAAATAGGTAACACTTGTAGATTTATAAATAAGAGCACAATATTAAAACAAAATGTCATATTTGCCTGCCTGTTCTTTCTTTGAGAGATTTGAAAAAGAAACATATGACTAAATTCAAATCTCTTGATGCTATAAATAGCCGATGCAATGTATATCAGTTTTCCAGAGTTCCAGCAGACGTTGTATCAAACTCAAACCCTTACCCCACTTCTCCTCAGTCAATCTGCAGACAATCTAAGAAGGAAAAATATGTTCGGCCTCTGTGAGTGAGTGAGTTTGATTTTCTGCCGCTTTTTGCAATATTTCTGCAATATCACAGCAGGTGACACCACAAAATTGGCTTCACACATTGTGCCCATGTAGGGAATCGAACCCAGGTCTTTGGCGTGAGGAGCGAATCCTTTAACCACTAAACTACCCAACGGCCCTTCAGCCTCTGTGGGGGCGTGGGTAGCCTAGTGGTTAAAGCGTTAATGGAGAGCACAATGTGTTAAGCCCATTTCTGGTGTCCCCACCGTGATATTGCTGGAATATTGCTAAAAGCAGCGTAAAACTAAAACTCAGTCATTCAGTCAGTCAGCCTCTGTGAGGATGTAATAATACATGTATAGGATAGTAAAAAGAATACAACTAAATATATACAAAAATAATTTATTAAAACCACTTCATTTGAAACACAAATATATCTGGATATAAATATGATATATGCTGGTTGTATTTTGTATGGTTATATCTAAGGCTGACTATCAATATAGATCACAGAGATCAAATATTGATCTATTCTCAATATATATTGGAGAAGTGACGTTAAGCAAAAACTCCAGGAAGAAATCAACATATTACACATCACAGTTGAAAATTGCATGATATATTTATGCATGGATAGATAACTAACCAAACAGCATCCTGAACATAATTTAGAAGCAGCCCATGCTGGAAGACCTAACTTTGTGTATTGTGATATTGAGCTAAAACTATATTTCATCACAAAAGCTTTTGTTCAATATTACCCATGCCATAATTTTCATATTAATGATCGTTTACAATTCTTCCAATCAACATTATTTCCAATTATCGATCTTTGTAGCCAGCCCCTCAAATAGCTTGTGAGAATCACTAACATTTGTCCAAGTAATGCATTATAAAGGACATGCTAGCACAAGCTGACAAACTTAAGCAATCAAGTTCAACAAAAGCAGCTTCATCAAATCAAGAAGGGTAATGTTTTTCAAGCTCTGGACACAGGTTCATCAGTTTACAGCAATTGTGCAGCTTTATGTCGAAGCATGGGCTTGACACATTACATAGATGGTAAAAGAATCATGAGGGCTTTAGAACAAACACACAACCCACTAGGCTGTCCTCCAAGCATGCTTCTTGTTTCTCACAAACCAAGACACTTTGATCATACCACAGGGACAGGCACCTTGAGTAAAATACAAGTAACAAATAGCCTACAGCTCTCTCCAGCCTTGTTTATGTCTATACCTATATTATCTGAAGGAACAACTTGTTGTTCAAGGATTTTACTCAGCTCAGGACAAAGTGATTAGTCTCACGGCCTATCAATGTACAACAGTCTACAGTTCACCGATGGTTTGAGCACAGTTTCTCGCAATGTATCTGTAATGTTTATTTTAGTCTCAATATGTGGCACAGAAGATACTGTCTTGATCAACAGATTAAAGTTTGGAGAAAGTTGGCGTTTTTTTCTGCATGGCCGCCATGGTTGCTTTGGTCAAATCTTCACTCTGAGACATGCCTTGGTTCCACACACTCTGAAAACCAATCAAGCTGTTACTTCCTTCACAGCAACTAAATTGCTTGGAGGTGCTGGTCAGTTACATGTAACATTGACGTTATTGAAAAAATTACCTTCCATGTCTAATCTGTATGGATCCCTGACCTTGCTGTGATTATGATTGACAAAATATCCATATCAACCTGAAGCTCTGATTTTGTATTTCTGTTTTGCCTCAAGGACATATTTACATTGTGTAGCTTCTATAACCACACTTGACACGGAGTAAGTAAATGTAGTGCAAATTAACAACCTCCATTAATCCATCTGAAAGTATACTTAACACACAGACAGAGATTTGACCATACATCCATTTTGATTTTAAGGGAAATTACGATGGACGTGACCTCTTGACCTCGAAACAGTCAGACACCTTTGTAGTTAGGTTGTTTTCCAACACTGACGATAGTGGTGTGGAACTTCACAGAACATTTTCAGCTACAATTGAATATACCTGAGTATGTTTTTCACCCATATATTTTGATAAAATCACCGGATGGTACACCAGTAACGCTTCATTTGACATTGTACCAATGAGACGAGAAACAACATAATGTTTAACATGTATTATATTTGGGATTACACTTTCTTAGTCAAGACTTAGTACAGATTCTAGTACTATTGTAACTATTGTTAGGTTGAGTCCCATCTGGGATTCGAACACATCCTAATTACCAGCACACAAAGTCAGCCACCTAACCCGCTCAGCCACCGCGACTTCCACAAAAATGGAAATCGGACAACTGGTAGTCTAGACTGCAGACTTTGTGTACCCCTCTGATAAGTGTAAATTTGCACAGCTACCACGGCCAAAAGCTATGATTACATAATGCCATTTAGAAAGTGGTCAAATGTAACATATATTATATTTGGGATTACACTTTCTTGGTAAAAGTACAGAGTCTAGTACTTTTGTTGTTAAACATAATGTTTGGCAAGAGGTGCAATTGCTTTGAACAAATGAATGTTGACATTGACCCTTGCTAATTTAATGTTCCTTACCATTTAGCTCCAACTGTTATATGTTCATAAATCAAATGCATTCGTGACTATGACACTTTTTAATTAATTTGAAGACACCATTAAGTGAAGTACAATTCAATAATATAGTGGAGAGGTGCTTCTGTGTACAGCTGTATATTTATATTTTTTTCTAAAACCTACTTAAATTAGATAAATACGAATCATATCGACAAATTTGACTAACAGTCTTTCTTAAATGCTAACAGGGTGCATAAAGTACACATGTTCCATATTACTTACAATGTGTTCCAAACAGCTAAAAGAATCGAGAGGGAAAATTATATACACCCCAAGTTCCATGTTACTTACAATGTGTTCCAAACAGCCTATAGAAAATGGATGAGAGGGAAAGTTACGTATGAACCAAGTTCCATATTACTTACGATGTGTTCCAAACAGCTAATAGAATGGATGAGAGGGAAAGTTACATACGCCCCAAGTTCCATGTTACTTACGATGTGTTCCAAACAGCTGATAGAATGGATGAGAGGGAAAGTTACATACAGCCAAGTTCCATGTCACTTACGATGTGTTCCAAACAGCTGATAGAATGGATGAGAGGGAAAGTTACATACAGCCAAGTTCCATGTCACTTACGATGTGTTCCAAACATCTAATAGAATGGATGAGAGGGAAAGTTACATACACCCAAGTTCCATATTACTTACGATGTGTTCCAAACATCTAATAAAATGGATGAGAGGGAAAGTTACATACGCCCAAGTCCCATATTACTTACGATGTGTTCCAAACAGCTAATAGAATGGATGAGAGGGAAAGTTACATACACCCCAAGTTCCATATTACTTACGATGTGTTCCAAACATCTAATAGAATGGATGAGAGGGAAAGTTACATACGCCCAAGTTCCATATTACTTACGATGTGTTCCAAACAGCTAATAGAATGGATGAGAGGGAAAGTTACATACGCCCAAGTTCCATATTACTTACGATGTGTTCCAAACAGCTAATAGAATGGATGAGAGGGAAAGTTACATACGCCCAAGTCCCATATTACTTACGATGTGTTCCAAACAGCTAATAGAATGGATGAGAGGGAAAGTTACATACCCACAAGTTCCCATATTACTCACGATGTGTTCCAAACAGCTAATAGAATGGATGAGAGGGAAAGTTACATACGCCCAAGTCCCATATTACTTACGATGTGTTCCAAACAGCTAATAGAATGGATGAGAGGGAAAGTTACATACGCCACAAGTTCCATATTACTCACGATGTGTTCCAGACCCTCTGCCACTCCATGGTCCCGGGAATACACCAGACTGACCTTTGAACCCTGTACAGCTATGGGACTCTTGCTGGCAATAAGCACTGCCAAATCAAGGGCCCCTTCCACCATGGCTTTCTTATCAGGGAAGATGCGACTGCAAATAAGAAAGCTATTAGTTAGTACCAGTACCTGGATCAGAAGAACTACTGAACTAAAACTACTATAGTCCGTTTGGCTCAAAAGCAGACCAATGAATTGCAATCTTACCCGAAAAGTAATAAACTTATAATACTCAATGAAACGCTGATCATAATCAAAACATCAGACCAACTCTGTGATTTGTTTGCAGAATTTATGTTCTAAAATAAAAAGGAGTGTTGCAGTTACAGCACACTGTGTCAGGATAACATACAAATGATACAAGGAAACCTTAAAGTCTTGCAGGTCATCACTAAAACCTACTAGGGATATAAATGTAAAAGATGAGTGAGTGAGTTGAGTTTGATGCTGGTTCAAGCAGTGTTGCAGTTACTAGGGATGTCACGATACATAAGTTTCATGAATCAATACGTATCACGATACTCATGTCAGATTCGACATGTATCACGATACCTATTTTCGCGACATTATTGCGTAAATTTAGTTACATTTTCAACATTAATATTTCATATTTTATAATTGTCCATGAAAAGATCAACGTTTTTGATTCTCAGAGATTAAAAAATCTAATTTCCCTTCTTTGTGCATGAAAATATTCATTTATAACTCTCATAACATCAAAAAACATGATACAATTGCAAAATGTTAACGATACATATACATATTTAAACCGATAATTTCAAAACTAAATATTGATAGAGCTTTGAATGTATCGATAACTGTATTGTCTTAGAAAAAGTATCGATGCATTGATGTATGGATGTATCGTGGCATCCCTAGCAGTTACAGCACACTGTGTCAGGTTAACATACAAAGGATACAAGGAAACCTTAAAGTCTTGCAGGTCATACACTTCCCACCTGACATAGCCCATGGAGAGAGCTTCATCAGCATAGAACTTCCTGACTGAGTAGACCAGTTCCCTCACCAAACTGTCATTGCCCACCACCTTGGGGAACCTCTGCAGCGTTCCAACATCTGCCGCCAGACCAATATCCACCTCCTGGACAGATTGACAGAAACACTGACTATACACAGTCCCATTTAACAATGATACTTGCTAACCTGACATAGCCCATGGAGAGAGCTTCATCAGCATAGAACCTTCTGACGGAGTAGACCAGTTCCCTCACCAAACTGTCATTGCCCACCACCTTGGGGAACCTCTGCAGTGTTCCAACATCTGCCGCCACACCAATATCAACTTCCTGGACAGAATGATGAACGCATATATTCAAAACCAAGACACAACTTCACAACACCTCATTCACACACAACCCAATCATAGTGGTAGCATGCTTGGGTAAGCCCTGTGCTTTTCTAACTTGAATGAAATCTCTGAAACTATACATCTTTACTCTGTCGCAATAATAGAATGACTAAATTGGGGAAGAGGCAGGACTAAACCAGAGCTTGCACTGGTGGAAGGGTCCACTGTCAATTGATAGTGTTTCGGTGACATCTCACAAGGAAAACATTTTGCTTCCACTCAGCATTACGAGCAGTTGAGAAAAAGTGAGAGAGAAGAAAATAAAAGTTTACAAATTTACATTTTGACAAACTGATTAAATAAAAAAAGAAATCCTTTCTGCTTGCCTTAATCTGAAACCATGCATCGCTGGTGCAGTAGCGTATATCACAGGCAGAGGTCATGTCAAGGCCACCACCCACACAGGCACTGTGGATAGCAGCAATCACTGGCTTAGTACACTGAAACATAACAGCAGAGTGTGGTAGAAAGGGGTGTTGTAACACCAGGTGGTACAGGAGGAGTCGGACATATTGTCTACAACAACATAACAGCAGAGGGGGACTGTAAGTGTGGTAGAAAGGGGTGTTGTAACACCAGGTGGTACAGGAGGAGTCGGACATATTGTCTACAAGAACATAACAGCAGAGGGGGACTGTAAGTGTGGTAGAAAGGGGTGTTGTAACACCAGGTGGTACAGGAGAAGTCGGACATATTGTCTACAATAACATAACAGCAGAGGGGGACTGTAAGTGTGGTAGAAAGGGGTGTTGTAACACCAGGTGGTACAGGAGAAGTCGGACATATTGTCTACAATAACATAACAGCAGAGGGGGACTGTAAGTGTGGTAGAAAGCGGTGTTGTAACACCAGGTGGTAGAAAGGAGTGTTGTAACACCAGGTACTTCAGGAGGAGTACAACAACTGCTGTCTACAATAATATAAGTTGTTCACTTGTCTCGAAGTGGACATGGGTTGATGCTGAAGGGCGAGGGGAACATAAACAAACATAAACAAACCCATGAACCACGAGGAACCAGTGAACAATGTATTTATCTTACCAAACACCTCAATGTTAATTTTGAAGTGTCTGAAACACGGGTATCGGATCATAAAAAACAGTGTCAGAGTTAGGCAATAGCCAACACTAGATATTCAGATGACATAGAATCAAGCAGACGACAAGAAAAACAAATTTAGAGTTATCTCCCTTCCTTCAGTTTGTTTTTGCAAAACATTGGTACTTTCCGTACATCATACATAACTCAACATGATAAAGAATTACTAACAAGACTTATTTTTTCACCTTTACTTCTGATATTTATTGATGATCGATAAATATTTAGTCAACAGTTATCAGTCTCTGTATCAACAGCCAGGCCCATTTGTGAGTAAGGGCTTTAAGCTACTATTAGCAATATTCCAACAATATCATGGCAGGGCACAAGTCAGGTACATACCCTCTCAATAACAGTGAAGGATTCCTGCATAGGCCTGAGATTCTGGCGCATCCTGAAAGCCTTCCTGCCCACATCAGCATCTCTTTGCATGATGTCCATACTAGCGAAGCCTCCCAGATCCAGGCCTGAAATTTTGGGGTTTATTGCTGTCATTCAGAAAATCTTTTTAATTAGTTGGTGAAAATATTCAATAAAACTGTTGACCAATGGTCAAAATAGACACAGAATCAGACCTCTTCAGTAAAATTATAGGGTTAGTGTTGCGGCTTCAGGGTGACATAAAAAAATCTTTATTTCTTGTGAAATGTGAAAAGAATGTTACTACACATTAGATTTTCATCACTCAGGCTCGAACTTTCAATTCAAATATGGAAATTCCATTTAATAAGCAAAATATATGTTGTTCATATAACATGTTCTTTGCATCCCCACAATTGGTACAGTGTTCATCCTGTTACCTGCAATGGACATTGCTATTACTGAGATTCCCCTAACAAACAAATACATAGACCAAGGCAAATCCCTGCACATAGCTGTCCCACCTGCTGTGAAGATCTTCCCGGCTCCAGTCAGTACAACAGCACGGCACTCACTGTCTCCATCTAGGTAGTTGAAGCACTCGACCATCTCTCTGTAGAAAACAGTAGCCTTCTAGAGTTACAGGAACTATTACAAAATGTTCAAAATCAAGCATGAAAATCAGCAAAACATCGTCACACCATTATGCACAGAAATATTTATTTAGGTGGTCCTCAGATTCAAATGAAAAACAATATACTGAGAGAAACAAATAAAGGAACACAGGAAAATTCAAATGTTCCTTTAATATTTCCCAGTTTTCATCACCAGCTGTGAAGAGCGCTGTGGGAAGAAATCTGAAAACTATAAAGGAATACTCCCATGAAGTGATGTTTTCTTATTTGTTTCCCCTCGGTATAGTTGTATATCTGGCCTCATGGTGCATAGTACCCACAAAATTCTTCAGGCTTATGTACCATCTAGACCTCTGAGATCAGAGAATCAGTGCTTTCTTGTTATCCCCAAAGTCAAACAAGCTAAATATGGACACCATGCCTTCTCCAATGCTGCTGCAAAACAATGGAATGACCTGCCTTGATTCATCCTATCCAGTTCTGACTACCAGACATTCAAATCTCTCCTGAAAACTCACTTCTTTAAACAAGCATACTATTTGTTCTGAGCTATATACTCAAATTGTACACTTTGCACAGGACATCAAGCCTGGAAAGGTGTGTTAAAAATATTCTTCTTGTGTTTATTATTTACCTACTCACGGTCCACAGTTCTAAATTCAGTAGTAATGTGCACAGCAACATCACTTCATATAGAACATAACATTTTTATATATGTGCAGTTGGCTTGGTAGATTTCCCTTTAAATTCATTCCAAGCCCTTCAATGAGTTTTACACAAGCAAAAATAATAACTGACATAATTTTTCCCTCATTTTATAGACATCATAGTCTGTCAATCAACTGTTTACTCAATACTGGCATGAAAAGAAACAAACTGGAAGGACGTGATATTATTCTTAAATGACATACAAACAGCACCTTCTACAAATGAGTGCATGAAATCAATACAACAGCTATAGTGATACTGGTGAATTGTCAATTTGGATGACAAAGAACATCCTTTCTATATGAAAATGTAATACATATAGTTCAGGTAAATCAGGTATAACAAAAGTAACTTTATCATGCCTAGCCTGGCAAATGTAATAATGTTGTGCAAACTGAAGAATATATTACCACAACCTTCATAACTCCCGTCAAACATGGCAGAATAAAATATAAATAGCAATAATCGAACTTTAGATATCGTATACAAATATAATAAGAAACAGAGTCTGTTTTATTAAAATATGGGGCTTTATTAAATATTTCATAATGACATAGTAAATTTGAAATGAAATGGGCTTTGATCTACATGCAAGTATCAATAATTTTACCAGCAACATAGTGTTGCACCAGATCACAGTAGCAATACAGTGCGGTGACATACTTCAACATAAAAACATTCATGTATGCAGCAAATGTGCAACAACAACAACAGTACCTCCAGAAAGCTTGGTTCATGGCATTCCGCTTCTCAGGTCTGTTCAGCTCAACCTGAACCACCATGTCCCGCGGTCTGGTGACGTTCAGAGTCTCAAACTTGGGGGTCTGTGCACTACACATGGCTCTCGCACAATGTACTGTAGCTTCTTGTTGCTATGGACATAGAGTAAATATCTGATCTTATTTCCCATTTTTAAACCTGAAGCACTGACGATATGTCATTGACCTTCTCTACGGTATTAAGCTAAATATTTACATTTTTGTAAACTTCGTTAACCTTTAGGAGTTGGCATATTGGCTGACATACCCTTTCACATCTGATGCCCTTTTTTAAAATGTGTATATTGCTATAAAACTGAGGTTTTGCAAACCCCAAATTAGCTATACCTTTTGGAACAAATATCAGTGAGAAATATATTACTATTTAAATACGTAGGATATCCTAATTAATTACCGCTAGTTTAAGTACCAAATAAATCCTCTGCATGTACGTAACACGATTGAGATGAATATAAGCCGTGTTGTTTTGAGAGAGAGTTCGAGCCGAATATATAGTTTGTATGGACTTTGACCACAGGTAAAATAACACTTATACTGTTATAGTTATATAGCCTAGTTTCTGACGATGGAACTACACAAGCTAACACTCAGTGTACCAGTTATGTCATTCACTGTACAGTGCTTAATACACATAAAAAGATAAAAATAATAAAAATCAGACTTTATATATGTGAATCAATTTCATTTTTCATACCTGTGACGAACGATTTCCAATTATTGCTAGCAGGCATTGGTTTTATCGAGTCTGCTTGTTCAGTGGTATTAGAGTTACCTACCCTTGTTCGTCTGCTATGTGGACGATAAGCTGGGCCCCGTCTCGCATATCGCAATATACGTTAGCGCGCGCAAAAGGAGCCGGGAACCAGCTTATGTGAAACGATTGGTCGAAAATCTATACTGTTGCGGCGCCAATTTATGAAAGCACGTCTTTTAAACATGTTATATATCGCATTCAACTTAATTAATGTGACTAAATGAATAATAAATGGGAACTAATATTACATTTCTTTTCCCCTTTTTCATTCAGGATTTGAGCTGATTGAGTTGTTATTGAAGCTGCCCACAATGACATCCACCGGACATCTACGGTCACATCAAGCAGGTTTAAGTTAAAGGTCACATGCAAAAATCAAACATAATTAAAACACAACTATCACTTATTCATGACCCATAATATACATTGCTAATTATGAAAAAACAAATAAACAAAATTATAAGCGTACAATCGCAAATCAAAAGTGCAATATTTTGTACTTGGGTTTACTTCCCTCGAAACGAAGCACCCGGGATACCGAACCCAGTCAGAGCGGATGGGCGTGCACTCAAGTGTAACGAAGTCTTTCATTGGCTGGTTCATTTGCCGATACGCTGAAGGCTCATTGTGTGTACATATAGAGATGATCTGTTTGATTGGCATTTTAGAAGTATGGTGAGTAATAAGAAAGTAAGACGCATATACCGTTGTCAAGCAAGAGCGACAACGGTATATGAATCCGTACCGAAACGTCGCATCATATACAATAAAAGAAGTTTTTATCCATAAAGAATGTATATAGAGATGTTGGGTTTTGTAAATACATGCTCTCTGCATTTGCGTTTGATCCAATCAACAAATACTGAGATGGTGAACTACTGCGTGGCTGTCGTCCAAGTACAAAGCAGGACTTGAACATGACAATCGGTTTCCGTCCGATCCAGTCATCCGAGAAATGGACGCAATTTGTTTGCAACCCACAAACATAAATACACGTCATGACTACAAGTATCACACCTGCCTGTCTGTGTAATTACATAATGTGCTGGAGACAGAACTCGAGTGCACGGGCCATAAATCAATGCGTTTTGTTTATGATGTATAGCCTGATAGGTGCTAAGTTCAAATTGCATGTGGTCAGTGATCTAAGTTGTGTATTGAATATTGTCATTAGCAGACAGGCAGACACATGGGTGTCAATAAAACTGACACTGAGTTTTGTCTGTGACAGATGCATATCTATATCACATGCAGTTAGAAATTCTTATAATGCTAAATAATGACGTTGATGTAAGTATCGAACTGTACCCTTTCAAAACACCGTGCAACTAATTGCACCCCAGGTACCCTAGCCAAAATCTGAATACAGAAACGTATCCTTTGACGGGTCAAGTCGCATTGTGCCGTTTTCTTGATCGAAACTGTCATACTGTTCTATTAGGTACATTTGATAGCGTTATATAAGAAACCAGCATTTACGTTAAAAAATTAGTTCGCGATACACAATACCACTTGCAGTGAAGTTGAACGGGAACAACTACATATATACGTTTTGGGTTGCGGAATATGGACTCGTCCTCCGTTTAAGTTACCGGGTACGTTTCTGTATTCTGATTTTTTAGGGTACACATTTGTAAATGGTTGTTTGTCACCCACCGTTCCCGAGTCCTAGGGGTGGTGATGATGATTTTAGGGGTGGGGTGGGGGGTGTATAGTGACCGTCTAGCAAAGGAGTGCATAAATCTTGACAAGATGATTCGATTTCTGGACATTTCTAAAAAAGTTAAAAAGGTTAAGGGCTATGATTCAATTGGGGGAGAAGAGGACACAATGCCGTTCACCTCAGCATCCAAGAACATGCATGCAGTTGGACTCACCACCCCAGCCCATTTCAGTCATGAATATGAGCTTCTTATTAAATAAACTTAGAGTTGCCCGAGTATCAGGGAGACTATATCACGGCCCTGTTTTCAGTCATGATATATGAGCTTCTTATTAAATAAACTTAGAGCGGTATTGATAGTATCAGGGAGGCTATATAAGGCCCTGTTGTAGAGTATCCCTGATAGTATCTATGTCTGGGTGAAATATAGTTTCGATTGATGGAGTAATTAATTGAACAGAAATGCAACTTTGATGAATATTTGACACCCTTTTGCCGTTCTACGTGTTTGTTTGAAATTACTATGTTAGATTAGTCCAGCCAAAGACAATAGTGTAACGTCATAGGGCATTGGCATACCATTGCAGTATGGCTAATTTCGTTTCTAATTACGATCACGCATTCTGGACAGCACGCAGAAGACATACAGCAGAACGAAGGTGCTTTTGACGTCTGGGCCAAAAGATTGAAGCTACCCATACTAGAGAAGTATTAATATAGAACCACTAAGCTTGGTATGTGTGCTGGGTTAGTTTAAGTGCTACCTTCTGTTATTTTCAAGATATATGACGTCGGTGTGCAAATAAACGAGTCTGGACCAGACAATCCAACGATGGAAATCATGATATTCGATCTACGTAATTGGGATACGATAACGTGTGTCAACCAAGTCAGCGAGCCCGCCCACCTGATGACTTTAGTTGCCTCTTACATCAAGCATGAGATGCTGATGACCAGTTGTAACTCCATCCTCGATAATATCTATAGTGGAGAGTTATCGTAGCGTATACCCTGGAGATTATCGAGGTTGGTTGTCAAGGTCATCTGTTGACCTTCATAAAACAGGATTAAACAAAGTCTGGTTAATGAAAACGTATTTCAAGGATGAGGTCATTTTTGAATCAAGGGTTTGGTTAGCATACAATCGAGTTGTCACGTCATGAGTGTGTTTCTTCTTTCATAAAACATGGTTACGTGGTTATGGTTCAGTTTCTATGTAATGGAGTTCGATACCGTCATGAAATGTTAAAAGTGGTCTTGTTGGACTATCAAAGCTCGGCAAGGTTATCATAAGACTGGTCATTTCGGAACATGTGTCTGAGAATCATCCACTGGCTGTTATGGTTGCGCTTCAGTCTTCTTGTACAAAACTGAGACTTTAAGTCTGAAGTGATCATGAATGTGTGTTTTCTCCTCCTTTTCATTATATTCCAGCAATATCAGGGCCGGGGGACACCAGAAATGGGCTTCACGCATTGTATCCATGTGGGGAATCGAACCCGGGTCTTCTACGTGACAAGCAAATGCTACCCCTCCCCTTTTAAAATCTTGAAGTTATGTTATCTTGATGGAAGTATCTTGTATTACAAGTCTTCAGAAGCTTTGAGTATAGGCCGGTGACGGGGCTACTTCCATGTTTGAAAGTACCTGCAATGACTTTTAAACAGCCCGGCAAAAGAAATGATAACGTTGATTTTGGTAAGAAATGGAAGAAAACAAGTAGTAGTTTTTGATGGTGATGTATATGATGAGGATCATAGATGTGTTACTATTCTTAGGTTTTGATCAAATCAATGTTTTCAAGAATGGTGTATAATCCGCATGTCCAACAGTTCATTGTTTAAATTATATTGCCAGGAAAGTACAAATTCGTCATACACAGATAACATATTACAAGTGCCTATACCCCCACTTCTAACTCTTTAAGCGTAACAGATCAAATGCACTTGACGTTTGAAGTAAGTAACGGTCACCATCTTTTCCCCATGGCCTTAAAGGTCACATGCAACGTAAAACACAACTTTGCAGATTCTGATACCTTTCGGTATGGACTTACCGAAACAAATCGACAAAAATGCAAATTCAACTTATAAAGTTGAAAAATAACGCGATAAAAAAAAACGCGCGAAATCGGAGTTAAAACGTTTCACTAATTTTCCCCAGACTTTTCTGGGGAAAACGGGTTTCAACATCTGGGCTGCGCTCATAGCACGTGCGCAGTGAAATAGGTTCGCGCAGCTTGGAAGCGGGTTGTCCGGTGAATACTCGGTGAAGGCTTTGGTGTGAGCTATTTTTCTAATGTTTTGTTGATATCTCACAGGCGCGAGCTTTTTATATGTTATGACAGTAAATTAACTGTTTATATAATTTCACCACACGTTCTTCTTACCGAGTCACTTTCTCAGTTCGATACTTAAAAGCAATGTCATTATTTAGCGTTGACAGATTTCTAACTGTGATATAGATATGTCGTTGTCTGCAGACAAAACTCAATGTCTTGTTTTATTGACACCTGTGTGTCTGCCTGCCTGTCTGCTAATGACAATATTCAATACACAGCTTAACATAACGGTAAACATCAATAAGCATCTTACCATGTTTTAAACCAATATGGACAGAAACCCATTTTGTTGCCTCGTATGAGAAGCACAAGGTGTTGGGAACCTGTATTCTAACCCAGGTGCCCTGGGCAACTAAAAATAAGTGAATGTTTCAGTTCCAATGTTTTTGACAAGTGTTCCTGTTAATGATGAAATGCAAGCTTACTATGGGAGAGGAAGGCAAACCCATACGCCACTTCTGAATAACACATGAACAAGATATGGAACTGGGACACCCAAACCCAAGATGAGAATCAAACAAATCTGAGGACACTTGAATTACTGAGGAAAGCAAATTTACAGTGACAACGAAGCTACCAGAACAGCTCACTGTAAAACAAAAAAAACAACTCCTTCATAGATAGCAATTCATCCTGAAGCTTGGTTCCCCTAGTTTTAATTATTCAGTATTTTCTCCTTGATGCATGGTATATGAGGGGAGTTCAAAAAGTAGTCGGCCTCACCAAGATGATACAATTGCAGCTGTTTTTATGATTTATTTTTGTACATATTTTCTGTCAACCTCAAGCTATTTTGTTTTGGTATGTTCCAGCCTCACGATCCCCATTTTGTTTGGCTTTTATCTTGGTACCCTCCAAAACAAAAGCAAATTCTGCAATAAATGCATCACAAACGTCAGGAAACAAATTATGCAAGAAAAACATTGTGTGTTTGAAGTCTGCTAGAATCAAACTTCGATATTTATTATATAAGTGCATAAAAAGCAATTTGAAACTACAATCGCTTGTTAAAGTTGACTCTCCTCTTCATGTTTACTGAAAGAGCTTGTTTTGGGAGACACGATCCACCCCCTTTCAGATTACGTAATCATAAGGAAATAACTTAAAGTAATATTTTCACTTATTCATATGTGATGCCAAGGGTTCAAACTAAATACTGAACGCTCACACAAGTGTCAGCTCTCAGTACATTGTAAACAGTGCCAGCTTGAATATCTGGACACAATGTTTTAGAGATTAATATGGGGGGGTGTCCTTAAAAAACAGCCCCGTCTAAATATGAATCAAGCAATCCAAATCTTTGAATGTTGATTATGCCGGGAAGTCATCCAATACTACACTGAACATATGATATATGATATCATCTGAAGGCATACCATTATCCATTACCAAATGACAGACAGATCATGTTTTCATTTTCTGCTATTTTTAAAGAAATGTTATAGCCCAATGTGTTGTGATGACTAATATCTCGTTAACCACATATGTGATTTTTTTATATGGCTTTGCTAATGATTCCTTCAAACTAAAATGGAAGCTTTTCAAACATTGGACATCCAGAATATAGTTAGGCTGACTACTTTTTGAACACCCTCGTAGCAGTGTCCAGAGTTGCACAGACATCTAACACTGTGTTATGTCAAATAACAAATACTAAACAACAAATAGAAAAAGCACACAAATACATATGTATACAAAAATAATGTATTGCAAACCAATCCATTTACATTCATATGGAACATTTTTTTCAAAAACACTGACAAGTGTGTCTTGTCATAACTATGCTAAATGTTTTTGTTATATGGTTATATAATAGCTGGTGACAATCACAAACATTTATTCAAACAATGCATTGTAAAGGATATGCCATGGCAAGCTGACAAACTCACTCAAATCAATACAAATAAATAATAGCTTCAGATCAATAAGACCAGACTCTGTGACAGTGGCACTCCGGATGCTATGGACTATGGAGGGCTATGTTTCTTCAAGTTGGAGGTAGTCCCCAGTTTCCAGCGATTGTCTAACATCATGACAAAGCATTGGCTTTACACATAAGACTGATGGGAAAAGAATTGAGGGCTTTCTGAACAGCACAAAATACCCTGTGCTACACCACACGCATGTTTCTGTTATCAAACATGGTGATGAAATAGATCTTAAAGCTTGATTCATATAACAGTGAAAGGCACTTCCAATAAACTATTCTCACAATATGTCTGAAATATTGCCGATGTGACTTAAAATCTTAACTCAATCACACTCCAATAAACTAGTCTACAGAGCATTTCAGAATTTTGGCTATATAATTGACAATGAATAGAGTATATAGCAATACCCTCAAAATGTTTGAAATTCACATAGATGTTTAGATACCAGTAACATCAACAAGGCTGGTATGGGCTAACATCCATCCCTCGCTTGTGGTCCCATTTTGATTATGGGAGAAATCAACTAGTTGTTCCAGATTTGTACTCATAACTGGACACATGGACAACTAGCAGTGCCGTCCCTGATATTTCCTTGATGTTTCAGCAATGATATTTCTCATTATGCGGCATAGAAGCCACTCTCTTCATCAAATAACTAAAGTTTGGAGAAAGTTGACGTTTCTTTCGCCATGGCTGCCATGGCTGCTTTGATCAAATCTTCGCTCTGAAGCATGCCTTGGTTCCACAAACGCTGAAAAACAAGCAAGCTGTTATTTCCTTCACATTGTGAGTAACTTAAATTTCTTGGGGGTGCTGGTCAGTTAATTGTAAACTTTTAACAGGATCGTGAAGATAAATATATCAGTTCATTAAAATAGAGTTCCCTCCTTACTAAGTGAAGTTTTACTTAATATTTTTTAAATTCCTAGCTTGTGAGATAGATGCTTCTGTATACAGATGTATAATCTTTTCTTCCTAAAACCCATCTAAATTTTATAATATGAATATCTACATGCTTGACAAACATTCTTACCAAACTACTAATAGAATGGATGATGAGGGAAAGTTTAGTTCCATATTACATGTGTTCCAAACACAAGATCCATATTACTTACTCACGATATGTTCCAGACCCTCTGCCACTCCATGGTCCCGGAATACACCAGACTGACCTTTGAACCCTGTACAGCTATGGGACTCTTGCTGGCAATAAGCACTGCCAAATCAAGGGCCCCTTCCACCATGGATTTTTTATCAGGGAAGATGCGACTGCAAATAAGAAAGCTATTAGTTAGTTCAGTACCTGGATCAGAAGAACTACTGAACTAAAACTACTAGTGAAACATAGGATATGTAAAAGTAAAAGATGAGTGAGTGAGTTGAGTTTGATGCTGGTGCAAGGAGTGTTGCAGTTACAACACACTGTGTCAGACTAACATACAAATGATACAAGGAAACCGTAAAGTGATGCAGGTCATACACTAAAACATACTAGGGATACAAATGTAAATGGTGAGTGAGTGAGTTGAGTTTGATGCTGTAAAGGATAAAGGAGTGTTGCAGTTACAACACACTGTGTCAGACTAACATACAAATGATACAAGGAAACCGTGAAGTGATGCAGGTCATACACTAAAACCTACTAGGGATACAAATGTAAATGGTGAGTGAGTGAGTTGAGTTTGATGCTGGTTCAAGGAGTGTTGCAGTTACAGCACACTGTGTCAGGCTAACATACAAATGATACAAGGAAACCTTAAAGTGATGCAGGTCATACACTAAAACCTACTAGGGATACAAATGTAAATGGTGAGTGAGTGAGTTGAGTTCTATGCTGCTTCAGCAGTGTTGCAGGTATAGCACAGAGTGCCTGCTTACTATACAAAGCCTGAAGTGATGGACGACCTACAACTTGACCACTTTGGTAAAGCACACAAGCAAAGGGATAGGATTGATATTGACAAAATCTGGGTGAGTCTGAGGTCACAGGTCTGTGTGAGTGAGGATGATTATACACAGATTTTAGCAAGAGTCCAGCAATATCACTATGCAGAACACCATAAATGGACTTCACACATTGTATACATATATGGGTTATCACATCCTGGCCGTAGCCATGAAAAGAGCAAACACTTTAACCACTTGACTACCCAACCAACCCTTAAAATTAATTCAAAAGGTATCAAGAATCTGGTAGGCGTCCATATTTATTTATAAAAAGGGTTAAATACTAAAAGACAATGGTATCAAACATGGCAAAGATTACAACATTTCGTAGCTTCAGGTACACAGTTCCATTAGAAGGGTACTTGCTAACCTGACATAGCCCATGGAGAGAGCTTCATCAGCATAGAACTTCCTGACTGAGTAGACCAGTTCCCTCACCCAACTGTCATTGCCCACCACCTTGGGGAACCTCTGCAGCTGTTCCAACATCTGCCGCCAAGCCAATATCCACCTCCTGGACATAGATAACACTGATTATATTTTGATATATTTTCAGTATTCAACCATGAATAACAAATAGGTTTACTTGAAACATGTTCATCTTTAACAAAATCAAACATAAACTGAATTCTGTTTCACATCTTGTCATCATGTTCATAGACTGCATCAAAACCTCTGGATTATGTTTTGGGCATTTCATATTGGTTTTTCTTACAGTTTAACATAACATATGTTAAGGTTATTTCGATATAAACTTCCATATTTCACTATTTACTCAAAGTCTGACAACAACTTCACTCCAAAGGTATAGACGTATAAAAGGATGGAAGATAGGTATGATAATTTCATGAGAATATTCTTTTATAAAGTTCTACATATAATCCTGGAAAGTTTGTTTATACATTGTAAAATATACAGTCAAATCTTTAAAGGTTACAAGAAATGGAAAAAATTAATAGAAAATCGGAAATATTCACCCCATGATACAAATAAAAAGAAATTGTTTTTCCTTGCCTTAATCTGAAACCATGCATCGCTGGTGCAGTAGCGTATATCACAGGCAGAGGTCATGTCAAGGCCAGCACCCACACAGGCATTATGCATAGCAGCAATCACTGGCTTAGTACACTGAAACATAACAGCAGAGGGGGACTGTAAGTGTGGTAGAAAGGGGTGTTGTAACACCAGGTGGTACAGGAGAAGTCGGACATATTGTCTACAACAACATAACAGCAGAGTGTGGTAGAAAGGAGTATTGTAACACCAGGTGGTACAGGAGGAGTCAGACATATTGTCTACAACAACATAACAGCAGAGGGGGACTGTAAGTGTGGTAGAAAGGGGTGTTGTAACACCAGGTGGTACAGGAGGAGTCGGACATATTGTCTACAACATAACAGCAGAGGGGACTGTAAGTGTGGTAGAAAGGGGTGTTGTAACACCAGGTGGTACAGGAGGAGTCAGACATATTGTCTACAACAACATAACAGCAGAGGGGACTGTAAGTGTGGTAGAAAGGGGTGTTGTAACACCAGGTGGTACAGGAGGAGTCAGACATATTGTCTACAAGAACATAACAGCAGAGGGGACTGTAAGTGTGGTAGAAAGGGGTGTTGTAACACCACCAGGAGGAGTCAGACATATTGTCTACAACATAACAGCAGAGGGGACTGTAAGTGTGGTAGAAAGGGGTGTTGTAACACCAGGTGGTAGAGGAGGAGTCAGACATATTGTCTACAAGAACATAACAGCAGAGGGGACTGTAAGTGTGTGGTAGAAAGGGGTGTTGTAACACCAGGTGGTACAGGAGGAGTCAGACATATTGTCTACAAGAACATAACAGCAGAGGGGACTGTAAGTGTGGTAGAAAGGGGGTGTTGTAACACCAGGTGGTAGAGGAGGAGTCAGACATATTGTCTACAACATAACAGCAGAGGGGGATTGTAAGTGTGGTAGAAAGGGGTGTTGTAACACCAGGTGGTAGAGGAGGAGTCAGACATATTGTCTACAACATAACAGCAGAGGGGGACTGTAAGTGTGGTAGAAAGGGGTGTTGTAACACCAGGTGGTACAGGAGTCAGACATATTGTTTACAACAACATAACAGCAGAGGGGACTGTAAGTGTGGTAGAAAGGGGTGTTGTAACACCAGGTGGTACAGGAGGAGTCAGACATATTGTTTACAACAACATAACAGCAGAGGGGACTGTAAGTGTGGTAGAAAGGGGTGTTGTAACACCAGGTGGTAGAGGAGGAGTCAGACATATTGTCTACATACAACATAACAGCAGAGGGGGACTGTAAGTGTGGTAGAAAGGGGTGTTGTAACACCAGGTGGTACAGGAGTCAGACATATTGTTTACAACAACATAACAGCAGAGGGGACTGTAAGTGTGGTAGAAAGGGGTGTTGTAACACCAGGTGGTACAGGAGTCAGACATATTGTTTACAACAACATAACAGCAGAGGGGACTGTAAGTGTGGTAGAAAGGGGTGTTGTAACACCAGGTGGTACAGGAGTCAGACATATTGTTTACAACAACATAACAGCAGAGGGGACTGTAAGTGTGGTAGAAAGGGGTGTTGTAACACCAGGTGGTACAGGGAGTCAGACATATTGTTTACAACAACATAACAGCAGAGGGGGACTGTAAGTGTGGTAGAAAGGGGTGTTGTAACACCAGGTGGTACAGGAGTCAGACATATTGTTTACAACAACATAACAGCAGAGGGGGACTGTAAGTGTGGTAGAAAGGGGTGTCGCAACACCAGGTGGTACAGGAGGAGTCGGACATACAAGAGGTTGTCTTCAACAATTGTTCCTGTGAATGTGACCATAATTTAGATGGATAGTCACAAGGATAACACTTTTCAAGCATATTTTCTTTAATTAAGGGTCTATCATAACTTTACCACCACAACACCTAGTAAACCTAGTAAAAAGCCAGTATTGTTGTAGAATCAAACTGCTATTGCTGTAGAATGAGAAATACTTTGTAATAATATGGTTATTTTTTAAATTTAAAGTTCTGAATAACCAATTTTGTATGGATTGGTCCTACATTTAATATGGGAATCACCATGTCATAAGATAAACACTTGGAAAGGTCTAAGACTTGCAGAATGTCTGATACTGGGCATATTGGTGAATGTGCCACTTTTAGCAATATTCCAGCTGTACCATCCTGGGTAAATGGGTTACATACCCTCTCAATAACAGTGAAGGATTCCTGCATAGCATTGACTGTCTGACGCATCCTGAAGCCCTTCCTGCCCACATCATCATCATCGCCCTGTATGATGCCAGCAAAGTCTCCCATATCCAGACCTGCAGTAGGAAGGCAAGAAACAGTAGAAGCCCCATTACCAAAGTAAACAGGCTTTTTTTCTTCTCAGTTTTTTGGGGTTTATTACTGTGATTCAGAAAATCTCTTTAATTAGTTGATGAAAATATTCAACAAAACCACTGGTCAATGCTCAAAATAGACACAAACCCAGACCTCTTTTGTAAAAATATAGGGTTAGTGTTGTGGTTGCTGGGTGATAACTAAAATATTCTCTATTTATTGTGAAACGTGAAAGGAATGTTAATACATGTTAGACTTTCATTATTCATAATCTAACTTTCAATTCAAATACAGAAATTCCATCTAATAAGCAAAGTTTATAACATGTTTTTTGCATCCCCACACTTGGTACAGTGTTCACCCTGTTACCTGCAATAGAAATTGTTATAACTGAGATTCCCCTGACTGACACATACAGACCAAGGCAAATCCCTGCCCATAGCTGTCCCACCTGCTGTGAAGATCTTCCCGGCTCCAGTCAGTACAACAGCACGGCACTCACTGTCTCCAGCTAGGTAGTTGAAACACTCGACCATCTCTCTGTAGAAAACAGTCGCCTTCTAGAGTTACAGGAACTATTACACAGTGTTCAAAATTTCATAGTTCTGAACTCATGGTCCACAGTTCCAAATACAATGAAACTAACAATAAAATTAGCATATCATTCAGACAAGCATGTAACAGATATTTGTCATGCATTGTGTTGTAACAAGTTAAGATATGTAAATACACAGAGCTTACCATGACCAGGCCTTAACTGAAAATCACGACAACTTTGTACAAATTGAGGAATACACAGGTCTACATTTCCACGAGGAAACCAAGCACAAGTACATGTGTATAAAATTACAATATCCTGATTTTGATGACCCAAGAGTTATTTTACCATTTCCATCAAATACCTTTTAACATTTCATTAATTGCATGTGAAGATCACTTTTGATCCATAGATAAGAATCATTCTTATATTTGTCCCAAGATTCAGATACAACAAACAACTTCAAGGGCCCCAAGATAACCATAAGAGTAACCATCTAGAAGCATTTGTCTTTCACAGCTTAGACCTGATTAATCCATCTTTTGCTTTTATGAATAATTCCTACATAAAATGTTTCAAAAGTGAAATATAAATAGTGTGTTTCATCAAAATGTGAGGGTTTTTTAAACAATTAATTATATTTCTTATACCTTTTACATATCTAACATTTCTATAATGGACTATGATCGATACCCAAGCATGAATAATATTACCATATATATTGCACATCCCCACAGTGACATACTTCTACAGGAAAACATTCACATGTGCAGTACATGAGCACTGAAATGAGAACTGAACAACAGTACCTCCAGAAAGCTTGGTTCATGGCATTCCGCTTCTCAGGTCTGTTCAGCTCGACCTGAACCACCATGTCCCGCGGTCTGGTGATGTTCAGAGTCTCAAACTTGGGGGTCTGTGCACTACACATGGCTCTCACAATGTACTGTAACTGGCTTTTACTTCTTGTTGCTGTGGACATAGAGCAAATATCTCATCTTATTTCCTATTATCAAGTCCCAAAGCACTGACAACATGTCATTGAGTGAGGGAGTGTGGTTTTACTGCACTTTTAACAATATTCCAGCAATATCACGGCTTCACACACTCTACAAATGCAGGGAATGGAACCCTGGTCTTACTGTGACAAGCGAATGCTTACGAGCACTTGGCATGACATTGACATTAACCCTAATTACTCAATTACCTTGCTTCATGTAAATATTTTTTCATTTATTATAGATTTGATTGAGGTTGATATAACATCTATAATAATGTTTTTCGATATCCATCAAAATATACTTTTGAAAATAGATTACATCAATCTCCAGAAAATTACAGCCAGGAGAATTCATTGCAGTTAGATAGGTACAAAAACTCCCAGACATGAAGGTATAACACGGGTAAGCAAAATAATAAGCCGTGTTATGCAGACCGAGAGGTTGTGCTGAGTACGATAGTATGAGGGACTTTGACCGCTGGTAAACAGTCAAGATTCTGACAATTCATAACTAGCACTTTGTTTAGGGTTTTCCAGTTAATGCACAGTAAACAATATGCACATAAAACAAACAAATCTACACATAATACAATATGAGAATATATTAGAACCATTTGAATTTTTTCATACCCGTGACGACTGATTTCCAAATCTTGTTCGCAAACATTTTGGGTTCTCACGGCTCATTCACCGATGTTAGAGTTATCCGCCCTTGAAAAATCGTCTGCACTGTGAAAATGATTGGTCGAAAACGGAAAATATAAGCCAATCAATGCTGTTCTTCTTTCCTATTTAGGCTGATGTAAACAAACATGGCGTGGTTCTGGGTTGTCATAGCTGGTGGAGTTTCCGTGTCCTTGCTGGTCCTACGTAGAATCGCGAACCGTGCTAAAGTATGTCCGAGCAAAGCAATGATGACAGGAAAGACGGTAGTGATAACTGGTGCTAACTGTGGTATCGGAAAGGCTACTGCCTCCGAACTAGCCAAACGAAACGCAAGGGTCATTTTGGCATGCAGAGATGTGGGCAAAGCAACGAAAGCTGTCAACGAAATCCGACGACGCACGCAAAGCGGGGAGCTGGTTGTCAAGCACCTTGATCTAGCGTCAATAGATTCTATTCAGATGTTTGCTGATAATTTGCGAAAAGAAGAACAGAGGTTGGATGTGTTAATAAACAACGCTGGCGTATTCCAATGTCCATACACAAAAACTGAAGATGGTTTTGAGATGCAGATGGGTGTTAATCACATCGGTCATTTCTTGTTGACTAATTTGTTAACAGACATGTTAAAGAAATCTGCACCAAGTAGAGTGGTTGTTGTAACATCATCTCTTCATAAGAGAGGAACTATCAATTTCGATGACCTCCAAAGCGAGAAGGCATATAACAAGGCTAAGAGCTACGCCAACAGCAAATTGGCGAATTCTCTTTTCTCAAGGGAATTAACCCGACAGTTATGTGGTAGCAACGTCTCTGTATACTGCGTGCACCCAGGAATGGTAATGACAAACATCAGTAGACATGTGGTGCCACGGTTCATTAAGACTCTGTTAACTCCATTGGCTTTCCTACTTGGCGCTCGTACAAACTTTGAGGGTTGTCAAACAGTTTTATATTGCAGCATTGCTGATGAAGTAGCAAAAGAAACAGGAAAATATTATGGAAACTGTAAAGTGGAACCATGGCCTCAGGTAGCAACTGATGATGGTGTTGCTAAGAAACTGTGGGAAGTCAGTGAAAAATTGACTAAGTTAGCATGACCCCAAATCGAACTAAGAACTGGACACAGTGATATAGATGAACAGACTATCTTGATATAATTATGTTTCTGATAAATGTTTAATAAAATGGATGATTGTAATCACAAGCATTTGTGTAGATAAACAAATTTGTATACATGTCTTGAAGCTGAAGCATATGAATGTGATGACCTTTCATTTTGTTCAATGAAGAAACTGATTCATTTTACAAGACTAGCTTTACTCTGCACAAGAAACATATATCAACAATGCATAAAATATACATCATGAATGCTTTTCTGTTCGGACTTATGATATTTAAATATTTTTCTTCTGAATTTCCCTGAATAAATCAGAAATAATATCAATTCAAACATACAAGGAAAGGTTCTATTTGGAGTAGAATTTGTCATGAAGTTTCTTTTTCTTTTTGGCCATGGTGAGTATTACTTGAAACACAGTTTCAACTATTAACATAACCAAAGCTGTAGAAAGACCCAAGCCAGTTATGAAGAAAATGCGAGTGAGTTTTCTGAGAGGCAGTGGTTCTCCCCCAAGCTGAAAGGCAGTAGTGGCTCTTGGAGTTGTGTTCCAGTACTTGCCCACCCAGTGCTGCATGATGCCAGTTTCTCGGATGTTCCTCATTCTGAAACAAATTATGAACCCATATGAAGATCAGATTACTGTATTTCCTGATCTTTGCTTGTTTCGAATAAGTTACTTCTGTTTGTCACAACCATGATTACAAAGGGCTATAAGGGATCACTCCTACATAAGTCTGCTGCCAGAGGATTTACACTGCACTTCTACATCTCTGATTGGCCACTGATCATGAACTTTCTTTTTAAACTCACCTTCCATGTATACCAATTACAAAACATGTATGACTTAATTGACCTGATACGAATGCTGAATTAATGTCCCAGATCTAAAAGAAAAACCACTACTCCTTAAGATAACAAGCTTGTGTTCCCCTCAAAGACGATTTTTTTTTTTTTTTTTTGCATTCAATTCGGAATCCTTTTTCAAAGTTCACTTTCGGTGAAATAAATAACACTGAGGTGTTCAACAGCAAAAAGACATATATTATGAAAAAGTGATGCACAAATGAAAATCAGATCTAAACAGATATATGTTTTGAAGTTAGAAGTGTGATTAAGTAAAATCAAATGGCAAGATGCCCCAGTCCCATACATTTGATCAAGGTATCAATATATCTATAGTATTTATAACAATATTCTGTTAAAGACAATAATACATTAAAAGAGCACAATTCGAAACCCCTGTCAAAAGGACAACTGTAATGTTCATGGCCGATCAATTTGAGTGACTGAATATGTTCATAAATTACTTTTGGCATGTCACTTACACCCACTGAAGCTCAGGGAGTAGTGGTGAGTCAGTCGGCACCCCCAGCGCCACCCCTGATGGGTGTATGTTCTCCCCTACCGTGGTGAGAACTACACCCTTTGGAGCCTTCTCCACCATGACCTCCAGCGTGCTTCTACTGGAGATGAAGGCGTACTTGCTGTTGATGACCTTGTGTAGATGGGATTCAATGTCCTTACTCAGTACGCTAGGGTCCGCCCGTGCGAACTCCATCAGCCGGTTATATGTTTCTTTGTATAATGGGTTGTCCGATGTCTGAAAACACAGGTGTAACAGATATTTACCATCCAATTCTGGCTTTCACGGGAGATATCACTTTGGTGAGATCAAATGAAGTGGCGTCACTAATCTCTTCCACTGAAGCAGGATAACTCATACTTTTACCCCTCTTCTTGGCATGAAACTCTATAATTGTATTAATTGCATGCATCTTTACGAATATTACAACATGTAATCATGTGTCAACCAAGTCAGCGAGCCCGACCACCCGATCCCGCTAGTCGCCTTTTACCACAAGCATGGGTTGCAGATGACCAATTCTAACCCGAATATTCATGGGTGTTTTCAGAAGCTTTTGGGAAATTGCAAATCCGACCCCACTTGGAGATGATTATTCGAGGGGGATGTATTTCATATGGGTATCATAGATGTGTTGAGGACCTTAAGTTAGCAGCGTTTCAGTGACTTTTTCAAGTAAGTAATGCTTCAATAAGGTTTGAATATTTTTGGTCAAATCCACTTTTCAAGTGAGGTTCTTGAGAGGCATATAGTTGGTATTCGAAAATAAGACAAAATATAATGTATGTGAATTTACCTGACGAAGGGGCAAGGAAAAGCCCTGAAACGTTGTGTAATGTGTACAATAAAGAAGAAGTTGACATCCATAATATTTTGTCTTTCAAGTGTATTTACCCTTGCATTATATAGCTGAGATATGTACCCGGCAAGGTGAAAGGTACAGCTAAGATGTTTAGGACATTTAAAGATCACACACTCCGATATCTACGAAAGTACTGACAGTTACTTAATTCTGACACTATTTATGACTCCAAAGAAAGTTCTCTCTGCTGAGGACACTAATTATTTGCACGATCTGATTATGAAAGACTGGATTACTAGATGGTTTTGCCGTAACCAACGTACTCCGAACAGCAGAGTGTTGATGGATCCATTGAACATTCCCCACGTGTAGTCGCTGGCGTGAACAAGTTGCTCCAGCGAGGTGAAGGGGATGACTTTGCGCTGGACACAGAAGGACACGGTGAGGTTTGCGCTGTACATGGCGGTAAATACAAGACAGAACAACCACCATGACGACACAAGCATCCTTCCACTGCACGACCTCGGTCTCAATGACCCACCTACAAGAGAGAATCACAACATACTTCACGCAACAAAATAGAAAAAAACCCATATCGTATTGTTAAAACACAACTGTCAGGACAGAAGGGGGGCGAAGACATCTTCCCAGAGAGGTAAGTGCATCATACAATACTCATAATGCCCACTTGCCAGAGATATAACTGCATCATACAATACCCATAACGACCACTTACTAGAGATATAACTGCGTCATACAATACCCGTAACCACCACTTGCCAGAGATATAACTGCGTCATACAATACCCGTAACCACCACTTACCAGAGATATAACTGCATCATACAATACCCGTAACCACCACTTGCCAGAGATATAACTGCATCATACTTTACCCATAACGACCACTTGCCAGAGATATAACTGCATCATACAAAACGCGTAACGACCACTTGACAGAGATATAACTGAACCATATAATACCCATAACGACCACTTGACAGAGATATAACTTCATCATACAAAACGCGTAACGACCACTTCTCAGAGATATGACTGCAACATAAAATACCCGTAACCACCACTTGACAGAGATATAACTGCATCATACAATACCCGTAACCACCACTTGACAGAGATATAACTGCATCATCATAACTGCATCATACAATACCCGTAAAGACCACTTACCAGAGATTTAACTGCATCATACAATAGCCGTAACCACCACTTGCCAGAGATATAACTGAACCATATAATACCCATAACGACCACTTGACAGAGATATAACTGCATCATACAATACCCATAACGACCACTTGCCAGAGATATAACTGCATCATACAATACCCGTAACGACCACTTGCATGAGATATAACTGCATCATACAAACCTGTCACCTCTACTTGCCAGAGATATATAACTGCATCATACAATACCCATAACGACCACTTGCCAGAGATATAACTGCATCATACAATACCCGTAACGACCACTTGCCAGAGATATAACTGCATCATACAAAACCTGTAACCTCTACTTGCCAGAGATATATAACTGCATCATACAATACCCATAACGACCACTTGCCAGAGATATAACTGCATCCTACAATACCTGTAACGACAGCTTACCAGAGATATAACTGCATCATACAATACCCATAACGACCACTTGCCAGAGATATAACTGCATTATACAATACGCGTAACGACCACTTACCAGAGATATAACTGCATCATACAATACCCACACCGACCACTTGCCAGAGATATAACTGCATCATACAATACCGTAATGACAGCTTAATAGAGATAAGCTCCACTAAAATCGAATTAACATAGTATGCATTACCTTCTCTCTATAATATGACATGTCTTCAACACGTATAATGCCTCCTCACATTCCCTAAATACACAGTTACATCTATAATGCTGATTACATATGACATCTCCCTATTCCTACCTTGCGACAAAATGGACCCAATCATGTACCACACTGCTTTCCACAGCAGGAGCGGAAGTGGCTTCGGCCGCACGACGTCCGCATACTCCACCACGACAAACAGTACGGTGACGATGCCGAGACACAGGGCAATAGACAGCAGGACTATCGGTTGTAATGGCGTCGTCAGTTCTTTGAGACTCAGTTCGGAGTCGTTGTGGATACGGTAGAGAATATCAATGACCTCTGTCTTGAATGCGGGGTAGATGTAGTCCATTACAACGTCTCTGCTGGCGTGGATACCGATGTCGGCGAGACCGATGTCTATTTCCTGAATAAAGACAATGATCAGTTGACGGGTTAGAGATTTTGAAAGAAAAGTTGTCAAACTAGTGTCCTTTGCTCCCTTCCCTTTTTGGACAGCCTCCGTGGTCTAGTGGCTACAGCCGGAGAGCCAAACCGAAACATGAGTCTCATTAACCTATTCAGACAATGACCTACTTTTCAGCCGATCCGAAATTCCACGTGTGAAAGTGAAAATAGACATCACAAACAGCTATGGTTACTCTGAATCCCAATTCCTTGTTTCATAAGAAAATGGTAATTACGAATGAATTTTAATTTTAACCTTTAATAACATCGTATTTCTACATTTTATGGCGAGGTGTAGGCAGCATGACCTGAACTAAGACGTCACAGACTGCCCCTGTTTGATGTGGTCGTAAAATGATTCACAATGCGTCTGGCTCACTGGTTACACCTGTTATGTGTTTTTTGCACTTATTCAGAGTAGTTCTGTAACGCACAAATTGATTGATAGAATATCAATTCCGTACCAGACCGCCAAACTTTTCTAGCGGCAGAGCCTCGTTTTGAGATTTCCATGTTTCCGTTTGTCAGAGCTCGCTGTGCGACAGAACACGCTGCACGACGTGTTTGCAAGGATTAGAAAGGGCGTAGTGTTGCAATATACAAGTGCTTAGATGTATCAAATAATACTGATTAATATTTATGTATCCTGTTAAATGAATTGGTCTCAGAATTCTGGACTGGTTATTGTACTAAGTTGCGCAATAGGACGGAACCCAGTCAACAGGAAACGAGACTGTTGTGTAATCAATGTTTTGACTTGGAAGGTCGCGGGTTCGATCCCCGGCCGCGTCATACCAAAATATGGTACTTGTTGGTCCCTACCGGGCGCTCGGCATTAATGGGTACAACAAGGACTGGTCGGTTCGGAGTCAGTCTAATGTGTCTGAGTGTGGTACTCATGCTTAACAGTGGCATGGTATCTCAGTGAGCTAGCACTATAAAACCAGCCTAACCCTGGTCTAGTGCAAGCAGCCACACAAACACATGTATGCACGTCTTCATATGAACGAAATATTCTTAAGTACGACGTTAAACCCCATTTCACCTCACCACCCCTTCCCTTTTTGAATGATTGTCAGCAACTGTACTCAGATATAACCCCTGATGGGATTTCTGGTTACTACATCGATATTGTCAGGTTCAGACTAGGTGATTGCGTGTTATCGTACACCGACGTGGAGGTGCTCATGATATCACCCTCTGGTTTGTCTCGTCAAGCTGGGTACTGTGGAATGCGGCCTTGAACAGCACATACTGTCAACACGTGAACAATACAAAACATACACCATCGTATACACTGCTATTGCTTTTAGCCTTGCCATGATTGTATTTATTCAAGGCTGAGACATTTCGCTTATGGTGCCGGCTTCATTTAAAGCCCGTCGTCATCCATTTTTCGTCTATTGAATATTTCACTCATGTATAATCTTAAACACAAATAGGCTAAAAAATGCTATTTCCATTCAAAACGAAGGAAATAGAACAAACACACACACACACACACACACACACACACACACGCACACACACGCGAGCCTGCCCTACAACCCTAGCCATCCTACCTTACCGGAGATCTGTGGTAGCCCGGTGGTAAAGTGCTCGCTTGTCCTACCAGTGTTTCCGTCATGACACCGCTGGGATATTGCTAAAAGTGCTGTAAACCCTCATCCAATCACTCGCTCGCTCTTACCCTGTCCTTCAACTGACGAACAAGGCCTGTCCAGGATCCATTCACAAGGGCCCCCCATTCCCCATCTTCCACCTCCTCAATTGTGTACCTGAAAAACACGCGCTCAAATGTAACACACAAAGCACACGTTCGGACAATCACCGTCAGAAATTAAAGAATCTAGTCAATCTTCGAGAGTTGAAAGTTTATTCAAATGATCGTCTACTTGGATTTAATACATTGTACTGGTTCCTGGATTCACATCGGTTCATTTTCGATCGACTGGTTGCCTTCCAAAGTGTCTGCATTTGTTTTGGTTTTTGTTATTTCTGTTGTTTTTGCGTGCCTATTATTTTTCAGTCTGGTAATAACGATGAAGAATGTCAAAGCTCAAAGAAACTATCCATTAGGGCTGCAACGATTCACGCAGACCTCGATTTGATTTTATTTTCGATATTGGACCCTCGATTCGATCATTTTCGATTCGATTCTTCATACAAATAAAAACATCAGATTAAATTTAACTCAGAGTCGGCCTTGTTAGCGTGAAATCCATCGTCAACTTGGCGATGTCTACTAACAACAATTCTCATTGGATAATTATTCGGCTTCAACCAATCACGTTTCGTCTTATTTCGCTCGAAACTGCTCGAGTTGGAGTCAAAATTTCGTTCTGGCTCTGTGGAAATAATTAAAGTAGTATTCAAATATCGAATCGAAATAGTGATAATGGTTATCGAAAATCGAAACTAAGGTGTCCGATTCGATTTTCGATGAATCGAACCGAATCGTTGCAGCCCTACCATCCATATTTCATAGTGACATTTCCTTCTGCTGGTCCTTAATACATTCAGCTGCAACTCACGTAAAATTGACAGCATCCACCATGCTGTGCAGAAGATCAATGCACATCCCGCTGTAGGTGGTCTTGTTCGCCACCGTGGTCTTCTCAACGAAACCCGGCCACTGAGGAGGAGGAAATCAGTATGGGTGGAATGCCACAATTTGTCACCTAGGTTTGACACTTTGACATTGTGTATTCCTCGTGCCACCCCGTGTCCCCAGCCGTGATGTTGCTGGGATACTGCTAAAAGCGGCGTAAAACCAAACCCACTCACTCACTCATGTCACCCCAAGTCAGTGGACCAAATAGTTTTACCGGAAGTCATACGCTGAAGGGGTCGTTGTCGGCACGGGTACTACAGATATGTACCCCAGGTACGTTTCTGTATACAGAAACGTACCTTGGCCATAATGAGAATACAGAAACGTACCCTAGGATGATTCCATTCCCATTGTGTCGTATTCTTGACCGGAACTGTCATACTGTTGTATTAGATACATTTGATTGCGTTATGTAAGTAATGAGAATACACAGTAACAGATATTTCGCGATGCATATGAATACTACTCGCAATCAGTTGAACGGGAACAACTACATACGGTTTCGGTTTTGGATTGGGGAATATGGACTCGTCCGCCTTTTAGGGTACCGGGTACGTTTCTGTATTTTGACTTTGTTAAGGGTACATATCTGTATACAGAAACGTACTTCGGGTACGTATCTGTAGTACCTGTGCCGACAACGACCCCTTCAGCACTACTAACAGAACATGATACCACTTTTTTTCTTCTAGAGAATGCTATTTTAGTACAAACAAGAAGAATTGTATTTGTATTGGCTGGTATGGCTTGTCATGCCTAGATAAGGTCGAGAAGTATGTCTGATTCCGGTGTATTCCCCGACGTTTAATATAACCTTTCAGTTCGAACTGGACCATACCTCTGTCCACCATCTTGGGTTTGTCTGTGTGTGTGCGGTTGGTGTACATTAGCTGTGCTTCACAACAGATAACCAGGCCTATAGGCCAACTAAGCAGATTTCCATACCGGTTTTGTAGATACAAGAAGATGAACCCCGTTCCACTTGTACTTTTTATTGGGGAAGAGCTTGTTGCTGATCCCACTACGTGGTATGTCCTTTGTGTGTACCCTGTCAAACCTCGCCATGTGTCGCACCTCCGTCAGGGTATACATGGTCAGGGCGTCCGTCGAGTCACCGAGTAACTGAGGAACATGGATAATACAGAAATATTAATAAATTCCACATGGCGGGTGTAAAACTCGTGCCCACCATAAAATCGTTACATTATTTCAGCAAACTGGATTTTAACGATTAAACACGCACTATTTGTATTTAGACAAAATCATCATCGCTAAGATATTATTACGTAATAGTGATTCTACTATTGTACTTACTTTCTTAATGTAGCCGACAATGTCCTCTTTCAGCTCTTTGTCATTCTTGCATTTAACTTCTCGTGATGCCACGTCGAAACAAGTGCCGATGTTAGATCGAAGGAAATCCTGAAAAGGTCTCAAGCTTGAGTGAACTTCTGATCACTGAATTCAACAACTAAGTATGGGTTGGGCTATTTGTTTAAGACAACGTCAACTATCGGGTGGTCAGGCTCGCTAACTTGTTTGAGACATGTCATCGTATCCCAACTGCGTAGATCGATGCTCGTGCTTTTGATCACTGGATTGTCTGGTCCAGATTTGATTATTTACAAACCGCCGCCATATAGATGGAATGTTGCTGAGTGCAGCGCAAAACTAAACTGACTCAATCACTCAGGTAAAGTCCCGAGTAAAAGAACCCATGTTTTTGGTGTCTAAAACTGAATTAAACAATGTTGATGATGTATTTGATACGAATATCGTAGTTGTGTTACGGAGCTCAAGCTTGCAGTTTTTCGGCAACCATTTTAAGCATTTAAACGTGTTTACAACGTTTGAACTGTCAGATTGGTCAAATCTACTTTTCAAGTGTAAGCGTTCTTTTGGAAGGCAGGCCGTATTATGTACATGAAACTTCTACAATCCTTTTAGGTTCATCATAACATTACTATGAAATGTGCTTGGGGTCAGAAATACCCATTCTTCGTAACATCACAATTAACGCATATAAGCTTCGTAACACTTTCCAAATGCGCCTGCAACTGCAAAAGTGTGTGTGTTGACAAATTGTACATGCCTAGAATGTCTCTCAAATTTATTATGGTTGTTTTATCATAAAAGCGGCTCCTCTTGGATACTTGGTCCAATTTGTGTGAATTGGTTGCTTGCTGTTTAATGCCGCCGAAAGAGGTAATATTCCAGCTATATAAGACGTCCAACACAGTAAGGGTACGATGACACGTGATTGTAAGGCCAGCTAGCCTGAACACCTGATCCATTTAGCCACCTCTCACAAGCAAAGGATGCTGGGAACCTATACCCACAATCCCTCGGGGCCAAGTGTGCTGAAGTTAGGTATGTGTGTCAGGTGCAGCCTATACATTTTCACAATGCACCTATTTTTTCAGTTACTGGCGACATGACACCTGAAGTGGGATGCCCAAAGTGTATTTTGTATACCCCAAGAGCTGTGGTACTGAAAAACTATTGATCTAGTGGATGAGATTCAAACACATCAAAGCATCAATGAATTATGAAGGGATCTAATTCTGACAGCAACTTAGACAGATGTACAACCGAAGCCTCTTGGTGTAAAAACACCAAGTAATCAAACAACCGCTGCATTAGAAGCAATTCTACAAGACGAATCGCGGTGATTAGCCCCTTACGGCAATCTGTACAGAATGCTGGGAATCTATTCTTACCCTGGTGAGTCGAACGTCAGTTAGCTTTCTGCAGTGAGTGAGTATGGTTTTACGCCGCATTTAGCAATGTTCCAGCAATAGCAGGGCGGAGGACACCAGAAATGGGCTTCACACATTGTACCGATGAGGGGGATCGAACTTGTGACGAGCGGTTAAGGTTATCAACACACCACTAGGCTACCCCAGTCCCCAGCCTTCTGTAGGTATAGTGCGTTTGGCTCAAAAGCGGAGTGCAGAGAAAGGGACAGCCAGGTGTTAGAGAAGCACGTGCACAAGTGCCGACAAAGTTATTGATTCATTAACCTGTGCTGTGCCGTCTCCATCCTTTCTCGCAAACCCGGCTGTCCCTTTCTCTGCACTCCTCCCTCGTAACAAATAGTGAACTGTGTCGATATTTTAATGAGAGTTTGTTAAACAACTTTTTTATTTTTAGGACATAAATTCTGCAAACACCTCTCAGAGTTGGTCTGACGTTTTCATTATGATCAGTGTTTCAATGAGTATTTTATGGTTATTAGTTTTCGAGTTAGATTGCAATTCATCGGTCCGCTTTTGAGCCAAACGGACTACAGCTGAGTATAAAGAGTTAACATACCACCAACTCCCCAGACCTGGTTATCCTCCGGTGATGGGTAGGAAGAGCCACCAGTATGACGTTCTCTAAATTATCCACTACTGGAAGGAAGCTGTGGAGGTCAGTGACATCCGTCAGCACCAGCCAGTGTGACAGGTGCCGGAAGTTGGTAGTCCGGTCTGATCCCCGGTCGAACGAGTTTACCTGGAAAATACACGCAGCAGCTGAATACAGTGACAAGGACGTATGAGTGACAAGGACGTATGAGTCATTACAAAGGAAGTGACCAATCTTCACTAATCTAAACATCATGTCTGTATATACAAAACCATTTATTGGTCGCCATCTATACAGTTTCCATAGGAACGAAGTAAGCCTAAAAAGTCATTTTTAAGGAAATGGGAACTAGTTAAGTACATACCCCAGAGACCCCTTGCAGAGAGCAATCTAAGCACCTTGACTCAAAGTCTATATTGAAGTGAAGGAGTGATGAAAAATGACTTCAACGGGATTAGGTGGTTTCAATACTTTATATATCCATAGAGCTTCGCAAGAAGACAATCTGGGACAAATACCCGGTTGAATTATTCTTTTACATCGTGGATTATCTAGCACATTGATTCTCGATAAATACAATGGAGCCATTCGCCGCGATATACTGGAAATGACGTTAACACATCAATCAATAATTGTTGGTATATCTCGCGTATAATTTCTTTAGCAGACCATTTTCAGCATGCTATCACAGCCCGGACTCTCGTGATAGAAGACCGCCTCGTGGTTCGGAGGATGGGGTGGACGGTCTGTGGTTCGATCCAGTGATGCGTCATATCAACAGACGTTCAAAGATGGAACTTAATGTTACCATGCCTGGTTGGAATTAAGAGGATAAAACAACGACTGGTTGCTAGGATTCAGCACAATTTGTTGGAAATCCACGTTAAACTGCAGCATTGCACCTTAGTTGACTAGCACGCAAAACAGGCAATACAAGCACATACGCGCACGCACGCACGCACGCGCACACACACACACACCAAAAAACCCAAAACAAACACAACCTCACGGGTACCAACCAGAGCAAGTGTGTTTAGAGCGGTAGCTCGTGTTCCGACAAGCAGGAAGTAGATTCCCCTCTGATGCAGCAGCTTGTGGACATAAGTCAGTGTCTGCCGCCATTGGTTCCTTGTGGTCAGTTCTGGTACAGAATACACGAGCACCTCCACGTCCGCTCCACACGTGGTCTGCCTGTCCATCAGCTCCCCGACATACACATCTGAAACAAACGCGCGTGTGGGGCAACGGATAAAAACCACCCTCGGCACCCAGGGGTATTTGAGCAGTAGAATAGCACTATTGGGCTTGGAATGCCGAGACAATGACCGCTGCGTATACTTACCTGTTGAATCGTCATGGAGGACGACGATCACGTCATGGACTACGTCATGGAGGTACAGCAGTAGAAACTCATTTAAACCCAAGTCGGGATACGTCGGGACACATGTAATTCGTCGTGTTAGCGAGCTCCCCGGAGTGTCTTTCATGTTCTCGAGGGGGGTATTGGTGAAGGGAGGAGTAATGACCCTCAGGCCGTTGAATATCCGCCGCTCTTCCCGTGACTGACCAATAATGATGACGTCATAATTTTCTGACGTCAAATCTTGAACTGCAACAGGTATTCAGAGATTTCATGAAATCAAGTAGATGTCGTCCACGTTTAAGGTAATTGGGGGATTGGGTATACTTTAGCTCCATCTACTATTAATCAAAGACAAATAAAGTTCCCAATAAGATATATCGTGATCAGTTTCGACATATACTCTCCAAAAAAAGTAACGCATATAGGAATTTCAACTGTATTTTTATGTTTATTTTGAAACATCTTGTAGGCTTTATGAGTCAATGAAATATCGCGAAATTGCACACTGGGAATACAGACTTATCCGTCTTTGGCACCAACTCGAGGAACGTCAGTTTGAGTGTCACATGGAGACGTGTGGTGGCGCTGAAGTCAATACCTCGTGTGACCACCGTGGGCATCCAGAACAGGACGGCATCGCCTCGGCATCGAACGAATAAGTCTCAGAATCTCGTGTTGCCCAATCGCAGCCCATTCTGCCTGTAGTGCCTGTGCGAGTTGCTGAAGTGTCTGGGGCCGAGGGTTACGGCGTCGCACCCGTCTGTCCAGGGCATCCCACAGATGTTCGATCGGGTGTAAGTCCGGTGATCTTGAGGGCCTAGGGAGCACATTGATGTTGTGGTTCTGGAGGAAATCTCTAGTGTGACGTGCTGTGTGGGGCCTGGCATTGTCCTGTTGAAACAACTCCCTCTGGCGATCAATGGTTGGAAGGAGGTGTGGGCGTAGGATTTCGTTACAGTACCGTTGAGCTGTCAGGTTGCCCTGGATCATCACCAAATCACTTCTCCTACGGCAGGTGATCCTCCCCACATCATAACACTTTCCCGGCCGAATCTGTCCACCTGGGGAACGCAAGCGTCGGCGAAACGTTCACGTCGACGTCTGTACACCCGCATTCTTCCATCGCGTCGTTCCAATAGAAATCGTGATTCATCACTGAACCAGATTCTACGCCAATTCGGTAGGTTCCAGGCCTGAACGTTGGTGCACCATTGAACTCGATGTCGACGATGTTGTTGTCGAAGCACAGGGCCAAAATAAGGTCTTCTGGCACGTACACCAGCCTCTCTCAACCTGTTCCTGACGGTCTGTGCAGAAAGCCTCCTCAATCCGGGTATTTGTCGTGCGGTACTGGTCGCCGTAGCTGTTCGATGACGCAGGTGATGTACCCGGATGTAGCAATCCTGCGCCGCAGTGGTCGCTCGAGGTCGCCCACTACGAGGGGTATCTGCTACCGCATTCTGCCGGCGATATCTCTCCCAGAGCCGTGAAATGATGCTTTGGTGAACATTCATGCGTCGGGCAACTGCACGTTGAGACTGGCCAGCTTCAAGCAAACCAATGGCGATATGACGGTTGGCTTCACTTAGACGTGGCATTTTGCGTTCGTCAACAATCTTCCAAATACAGTGAATAATCGACAGACAGCGATCAACCTTTTATACCCATCATTGAGACTATCTGATCCCCAACTTTCACGTGCATTGTATGTGAATTGTGTATTCTGTGACACTACACGCCGAAATTGAAAACCATGCTGTTTAATACGGGTATTTTACGGATGGTGCGTTTTGTTGTGATGTATCAAAACATAAACACCATAGGACTCATAAACAGAGCAAAACCTTTTGTAAAATGAATCACGTTTTAATTCATTGCTACATGAAATTGCTATTTTCATGATGCGTTTCTTTTTTGGGAGAGTATATAATATGCAGATGCGACTCTTAGTATTAAAAAAGTATCACATCAACACAATCAACAAATCTTAAGCTTGCGCTAACATTGTTTAATCACGTTTTGTTGAAACTTGCTTTCACGTCTATTGAACAGCAACACAGTCAATGAAGCTATTGTTTTGTTTGTGCCTGGGTTCCTCGCAACGTGTTTGCTGAAAGGGTCGGGTTGTCACTGGATGGTGATCAGAATATAGAAATAAAGATTATTACCCGAAGGTGTTTTCATACTTTAAACGTCAAATATTAGAAATAGAAATAACAAAAGTATGTTTATCCCACCTGACTGAAAGAAATATGCTGTTTTATATGTGAAATATATGAAAACATGTGACATTCATCATCACCTTCTCCACATATTCTATGGTATGTTATGTTTAGTTAAATGCATCCCCTCCTTTTTTAAGAAGTGGGGTAGCCTAGTGGGTAAAGCGTTCGCTCGTCACGCCGAGACCCGGGTTCGATTCCCCACATGGTTACAATGTCTGAAACCTACTTCTGATGTCCCCCGCCGTGATATCGCTGTAATATTGCTAAAAGCGATGTTAAACCAAACTCACTCACTCACTTATTAAGCTGCATGGCATACCGATTCCTTCTAACGAAGACATCCACAGGCCATAAGACTTAAACATTGTGTGAATATAATGACGTTAAGAAGATCCAGGCTGTAAGGCATTACTGGGTCATCACGTTTTGCACTCAACGTCTGTGTCGTAAACGGTGTTTCTAAAATAATGTTCTTTAACACTAGTTCGTCTTTATCTCAAAGAAAGATAAATGAAAATGACATTTTGGGATGCATATCGTATTTTCCTTAACACCATGTCGAACTACAGTAACCAAAAACCTGTTTAATTAGTTCTAATAACGTAATCTGTTGGCATCGGCCATTGATACAACTCGCACCTGTGCTCAAAGGACTGCTATCGTAAGTAGGTCATTCGTATGTAAATTCATTATGCACAATTTTAAACATGAGGGCTAGTTATTGTTTGTTTGTTTTTAACATTTTGGTCACGCTCTTTGGTTTTGTGAAAAGAACCGAACAATTGCATTTGTATCCAAACACGTATTTTCAGGTCACCAAGCTTCTTCAGCGGAAAATAGATATCGATGGTAATATTTCTAGGGGCATTGCAAACCAGCGATACCATGTTGAGATGAAAGCAGGGCATAGCACTCCCATTAGAGAGTTACATCCTTGTACTCCAGAACATCAATGTCGGTGTCGATCGTGTATGTATTTGAATGATCAATTCGTGACATTCGCTCATGTATTGGGAGACGTAAAACTGATAGGAATCAAAATACTAATGCATTCCAAACGTTAATATGCTACACTTGCTGCCCAGTATGAACTGTACAGTAATATAGGTGAGGTGGTGAGGTGAAATTTTACGTCGTGCTTGAGAATACTTCGCTCATATGACGACGTGCATGCGTGTGTATGTGTATATGCGGCTGCTTGTACTAGCCCAGACTGAAGCTGGTTTTATAGTGCTAGCCCACTGAGATACCATGCCGCAGTGAAACATGAATACCCCCACTCAGACACATTATACTGACTCCGAGCCGACCAGTCCTTGTTGTACCCATTAATGCCGAACGCCAGGCAGGGACCAACAAGTACCATATTTTAACGTCTTTGGTATGACGCGGTCGGGGATCGAACCCGCGACCTTCCGCTCTCCGGGCGGACGCTCTAACCACTACACCACGGAGGCGGTCGTAATATCGGTACTGATATGACACACATTATAATTATTTGTTGCATTTCCATGCAGCTATGAACTTAAATTCAGCAAAAGTACAAAGGAAAGTTCAATAAACAAATGACAGTGTTAATACGTAGTAAATGTGTTATGACACGATGACGTAAGCAAAAACGATCGATTTTGGAGCACAAGATAGCTGAATATTTAATGAGAAGAAAATATTTGTTGAGTTCCTGTTGCAAGAACTGGATAGTTGGTTTACATCTGGTCGATACATATTTAAACAGTATATATTTGAAAAGTATTAAGATTAAGTTGATTGGCTCATCATTTCTGTGACAAAGTCCGAGAAGTTCACGTTGTCTAGAGAGGATGAGTACTGTATATACAGTACAACCAGAAATTTTTGAGAATTTAAAGATTGTAATTTTTCTTTTTTCACTCATTACTCACGTATTAAATGTGAATATTAGCAGAACATAACTCCAGATTCAAAGACAGGTGAACAGTTAGTATTTTGTCAAGTCACCATGGGCAGCAATGCAGGCTTCAATGCGGCGGGGCATACTACTGATCAAAGAAGTTAGAAAGTCGTGGTCCATGCTGTCCCAATATCGGACCACCTCTTCTTTCATTTCAGCAATATTTGTCTGATTTTTCTTATTGACACTTTCCTTCATAAGTCCCCAAACATTTTCTATTGGATTTAGGTCAGGGCTATAGCTTGGCCAATCTAATAATGTCATATTTTGGGTCTGAAACCAGGCCTGTGAATGCTTTGAACGATGTTTTGGGTCGTTGTCCTGCTGGAAAATCCAAACATTTCCATAGAACACGTGAGCAGATGGAAGTAAATGTCCCTCGAGAATATCTGTGTACCGCTCACTGTTCATATTCCCTTCAAATACACAGAGGGGCGTTGCCCCTAACACAGATATGCCACCCCACACGTTAAATTTCGGACTGTACTTTGGGCGCTGATACAAAGAATTTTCAGTTTGTTTGGTCCAGAATTTCAGTGTATTAGGAAACAGCCACACAGAACTTTCATCTGAGAAAATCACATTGTCCCAGTTAAAATTTCTATTCTGTAAGCACCAGTTCAACCTTTGCTCCTTTTGTTCAGATTTCATGATCGGTGATGGAATTCCTCGATTTTTCTGCCAACCCATTGCATGCAGCTCAGTTCTAATTGTCTCCTTACAGACAGCCACAGTTCCTCTATCAATCATATCCAGCCTTAAGTTTTCTAAACTCCTTCGTTTGTTTTTAGAAACAAGAATACCAAGCCGCCTCCTGTCACCGACAGTCAATTTTCTGGGCCTACCTGCGCCTCCCTGGTGCTCAATGCCATATCCATTTGCAATATTTTTTCAAAACACGATAAACAGTGGACAAAGGGATGCCTGTTCTACTTGAAATCACTTTAACTGATCTGATGTCCTTGTTATAATACTCTAAAATCAACTTTCTCTTCTCTAAATCATCCATACTGAGGATCACTGAAAATGTCGTCTGCAAGCAAGTAAACAAAGGGGGATAACTCTTCACAAACTAAGGAAAAGGATTAACG